TAAAACAATTTGTAAAGTAAGATCAACATTTTTTTTCGAAATTTTTACGTTGAAAAGCCTGAGTTTTGTTAATAAAATTCTTTAATTTTTCCATTCATAACTTCAATAAAACTTATTTTTGCGTACCTGTGGCTTTGTAAACAACAGCCCCTTCTCGTACATCAGCAAATCTCGCTCGCCCACGAGAATACGCTGGCCAGAGTCTTTTTTCGCGTAATTTGGTGAGAAGGCGATCGAGCGGGCCGCCGTGTTCAAGCTGATCGACTGAAAAGAACCCGATTTTTCCTTATTTTATAATAATAAACAGTTCATAGGTCAAAACTGGATGTTTTTAATCCTTACCTGATTATACTCCGTCGTCCCGATCCCGTGCACCACCACTCGCGCATCCCCGGCACAACTCGCAATATACGAGCCGGTCTCGTCGATGCAAATCCGGCCAATTGGGCTTCGGTGAGGTTTATAAGGCTAGAAATTGTTTCTAAAGACTTTTACGATTTTGCTTACCGGTATATTTAAATTATCGACATTCCCAAGATGATCCATGACAATCACCTGGCCAGTATGGGTGCCTAGCGCCAAAAATTTGGCGTGACACGCCATCGAGGAAGTGATGGACTTTTTGTACAACTAAAAGAGCAGATTTAGATCGTTTAAATGATGGTTTCAAGCTAAAGATTTGTAGAAGCCTACTTCAATTACATCAGTGCTTTGCAGTAAAGTGTAGTGAAGACGCGGCTCGAGCAGCTCTTCATCGTCCTCATCATCCGAGATCTCTTCCGGTAAAGGAGATCTCTCGGCCGGTGGTTCTCCGTTCATCGTACCTGACGGGAAAGTGGTTTTTCGAAACGTTTGGAGTGTTATCGTTAGAAATGTCTATCAATGCGTCAATCTTGAAAATTTAGGATTTGAATGGGCCGGATGCCAGATGGTCGCTTCAAACGTTGTTATCTTTAGGGGCGGAAATGGTGCGCGAAAAGGTAAAAAGGGTACGGCTTCAAATAAGCACTTTTTAATTGAAAAAAACGTAAAAATAAAGTTTGTCTTGAAACCAACCCTCTATAGAACTCTGCATCCTCACATTGATGTTGCAGTACCAGAAAGAATTTTTACAACTAAAAAAAAATAGATTTCCTAAATCCACTTTTCCTAAAATCATAAAAAAAACCAATGGATCTCCGGTGTCTCATTTTACTTTTAAGCCTCTTGAGCAATTATTTATCACCAAAAATTCCAATCGCTATCACAGTGTTTTTAAAGTTAAAATGAGCGACAAACGGCACGAGGGGTGAGCACCAACATTTTGATACGGGGGCAGGAAAAGGAACGTAAGGTAAGGTCACACGAAAAGTAGTAAGCGAATATCGAAGATATCAATCGGGCTGGTATCACAGACAATATGAAAGGGACTAGTGATATGCACATCTCAAGAGAGAAAGAGAGGAAAAAGACCGGGAAAATCAGCATAAATTATTATAATCCTAGCGCACCATTAGCCGATAGCACCGACGAGTCGAAATCGACGTTCACGGCTTCTTCGCCCATTGTCACGTGTCTGAAAAAATCGTAGTTCTTTTTAAATTTGTTAAATCGAGTGTAGACCAAGTTGCTGTTTTTCAATTTTTCAATTTCAATTCAATTTTCGCTATATTTCATGCCGAAAAAATATGAAACAAGCTTGGAAATAGGCTTCTTTGGCATTATCGGGCGGGGGTCAAATTATTCTTAGGATACAATTTTTCAAGCATAAACAGCGGCGTTTCTAAACTATTTTTTATCCCTAAACATAAATAACAAACGTTGAACCACAAAAATACAAAAACAAAATTTCGACTTTTTCAAAAAAATTTAAGGTTTTCAGATAGTTTTTCTAGTTAAATATACTTTTATTTTTCTGAAACACTAATACAATACTTACTATTAAGTCATTTGACATTTCTAGACATCAAAAAAGTTCGGTTTTTGGCTAAAAATTGGTGATTGTATGTCGAGTATAGATACTTCTATTGTCTTAATACAAATTTATGGAATCGATGTTTATATATAACAAGTAAACATTGGGTTTCGCCACCAATAATGGGAATTGGAAAGAACCATTCAGTTTTATTTCAATGTAAAAAGCTTGAATTAAAACAAGATACCTTTCTCGGTGTGGGTTACGATGGACATCTTCGTAACACAGCTGCGCGACGTCAAGGGCATGGACAAGGCTATTCGCTACTTGGTTAGCCTAGATAAAAATTTTTTTTGCTTGATAAATCGGTACCTGCGCGTTTTCATCAACTGGCTTTCTTCCAACTAGTGAAGCCGTGGAAAAGATGGAATCGAAGGGGCGCTCGAGTTGCGGGCCTTTTGGCCTGAAAAATACAAAAAATGAGCGTAAATTCATTTGAAAAACCCACCATTTCCCCTTGATCCATTGCCGAAATTCGTGCAGCATCCGAATCGTGCCGATCGAGTAGGGCGTGTCGAAGCCACACTGTATCCGCAGCTGCCGAATGTTGCAATCGAGAAGCTGGACAGCAAATTCAAGATTTGCGCGCTCGGTCTTGGTGCGAAAGCCGTACAGCGGGAACCTAGATTAAAAGGTCTTTGATACCAGAAAAATTTTTACTTCTTGTCACTTTTCGGGTCCGTCACCCAGCTGAACGAGCCGGCAAACGTCATCGGGTACAGCAACGGGACGTCCATCACCCAGAAGATTTTCTCCATGAAGCTGACGACGTGGCCGAGGGCGGCTGAGAGTTCAAGCTCGGAATGGCCTGGAAAAATGAAAATTCAGCTAAAAATTTCGGTCAACTCACCGGTCATCGAGTCACTTCGTGGTAGATGAATTCCGGCGATGTAGTCGCAATGTACGCAAGCGCAAGTTCGCTTTCCGTCTTTGTACGTCAAATCCATACGGTCAACCTAAAAACAAGGATAAAAAATCCATCTGAAAAATACCTGGACTCTAAAAGCATCGAAAAGATCTTCGATCATTTCTTTCCGGCGGTCCAGCACGAGTTCCCTCACGTAGCCGCAATGCGTCTCGATTTTATATTTGGCGCTTTGGGCGAGGGATGCCTAAAAACCGTTTTTTAGGAATCCAAAATTAATGTCTTTCTTTCTGATTTTTTATTATTCTTTTTGATTCCCGACGTTTTCTAGAGGACCGGAAAACTCGTAGAGCCTTGTAAAGAAAGGCGACAAACCTTTTCCTCAGCCGCCTGAATCTCCAAATCGAGCTGATCCAGCCTCACGTCCCGATCGGCACATTCTTGCGCGACGTCGCTAATTTGCAGCCTCCGAGCGGCCAGCCTACGCCTCAACTCGGCAACTTTTTGGCGTAGCAACTCGTTGTTGATCTCCTGGTTTTGCAATTCTGCCGCCTAAAAAAGGATTTCTACAATTTTTTCCCGACAAACCTCATCCAACTGCTTGAATTGTTCCTTCAACGGGCCTTCCGGGTCTACCAATTCCCTCAAATCGGCGTTTTTCTTCGAAATATCTCTTATCGCACCGCAAAGATCTCGCAATCTATAAAAAATTCAGCTCTAAAAATGTGTTTTACCTTTTAAACTGGGCTAGCGAGCACGGCGATTGCAACGCTTGTCCATTTTCATGTAAATTTGACGTAGAGGAAGCATTTGAGGATTGTGGAGTGGCTCTAAAATGTGTTTTTGAATCAATTAACTAAACTTACGGGTTCTGAGCCTGGTTATTCCGTTGTAAATGCCGGATGTCGGCGTTGACTTCGCCAAATATCGACTCCAAGTCGGCTTGTGAGGTGGACGGCTTGGCCGTCCCCCAAATATCCATCGGGCTGAAGCAATCGATTGGGAAATTGTACGACCACATGATAAAACAAGTGGAAAATGCGCACTTTGAAATGGAAAGGCGATTAGTCAGAGAGTCCGTCAGTTTTGGCGTGCAAGGAAAACAAGATCGCGGTGACATCGGGTTTATTTTAGCGATGTTCACGTGAGGGTCAGTTTTTCCCAGGGGTAAGCCTGGGGTGGATGGCATTTCGAGGGGTGAATAGTTCAGTGACCAAGACTAGATAATGCATAACCTCGGCGCCACAGGGTTGCCCTGTGCAGTGGACCAAAACGGGCAAATAAGGGGCCAGAATTCAGGAACCGACCGAGATTTTCAACCCGCATGCAGTTTCTGGGTTTAAATGGACAGTTAATACACGGAAAATGATAGCTTTCGAAGATTTCCCGAGGTTTCTAGCTCAAAAACTCAAAATTTTTGGTTTCGGACCGGAGATCGCTATAAAAATGCGTATTTTCACAACGCTGAAGCCAAAGACGTGTCTCAAGCAAGCGTGAAGGATAATCGATTTTTTTTCCGGTCCCGTTGATGAAAATTGTTAGAAAAAAATCGCATGTTTCTAAAGTGTTTTCGGCTTTTTAGCGTTATAAATATAAAATTACTGGGTGAGCGGGCGGAAAGAGTTATAAATCTCGCTCTTTTCTCATAGTTAAAGTCCGTTTTCCAAACGGGCTTCACCTTGGAGCCTGAAACTTGCTTTCTCGATCAGCCGTGCTTTGAACGCTATCGAGCCGGGGCGCGGGGTCGGTACGCGAGAAGACTCTTGACGGCGCCTCGCGTGGCTCCATCGGGAGAGCGTCGCCCACTAACCAACAAGGCCTGCTCGGAGGCGTTAGATGTTATATTCCTACTTTTAATTTCTAAGTTTAACGCTTTTTTTGCCTGATTTGATCTGTTAGACAGTCCCGACGCTCTTTACAATCTTTAGAAAAGCTAAAACATACCTGAAGCAAAATAATTCTTGTATTTTCATTCGCCCATAAAGCCGGTAAACTTGGAAAATCAAACAAAATCCGAAAGCATGAAAATTAAAATTAGTTTTTGTGATTTCATGGCGTGTATGGTTGACATTGCCGCATAAATATGATCGTTTTCTTGTATTCTCTCGGAAAGTGACGCTCTGGAGAAATATCGACCTTTATAGAAAAAGAAAGCAATCATTTCTTATAGAAAAACTCGTGATGGTGGAAAGTTCGGACACGATGCGCATCGAGGATATTCCTGGGACATCGGAGGTAGTTTTATCTAATCTGATCAAATCGTATTTTTTAGACGAAAGCCCTTCACCTGCTCCCATCCGCCGCCAGCTCGGCGAACCAAGGGCTGGGCGTAAGTTTTTAGGCTTTTGCCTTTTTCTAAGTGCTCATAGTTTACCTTGGCGGACGCGTTAAAGGAGGGCGAGGTGAAATCGACGACCCCTATGCTTCAGATTCAGCAGAACAAAAGCATCAACCTTTACCGGAAGACGTTCCTGCTCGGCGACAAGCGCGGTGAGTTTTTTGGCGATTAGAAACCTGTCGAGCTGCCGATTTGTTTTTATCCAAAATTTTCAACGAACATATTTTCTTTTAGACGACAAGCTCGTCTCTTCTCGAACACCAATCTACAATCCGCAAAAGAAGCTGCTGCTGCGGCCGATTTACAAGATGGCCGGGCCCGGGCAATGGTAATTTTTGCCCTTGGATTTCTGATTATCGCTTTGCTTTCAGGAAAGTCGATCGCGGAAAATGCCCGGGAGATTGCAAGAAAGAGTTGTCAATTTGTGAGTCGAAACGCTACTTGATTTATTGTTAATTTTAGGCGTGATTCGCGAGCACATGGCCTATGGTTGCCCTAAGACAGTGAAGAAGGTGCAGCTGAAATCGTTGAACTCGGATGTCCGGGCGGGGTTAGTGATACATTTCTATGTGGCTTATAAGGCTATGAAGTTGCTGAATAGAAATTGATTAATTATAATTTTATTAATAAATAAATATTTTTGCGTCAAAATGATTATAAAAACCGGGTTGTTTCGGATTATCGGCGGGACCAAAATTTTTCCTAGGATCTAATTTTGCAAACGTAGATGCGGAAGTGTTTCCAAACGTTTTCATTCCTAAGCGTAACAGTGTTACAAATATTTCATTAAAAAATCAAGTTATATGGATTTTTTTGCCCAAAAATGTCCCTTTGTTACCGAAATTTCGACTTTTTGAGAAAATCTGGAAGTTTTAGCTAGTTTTTCTAGTTGAAATATAGTTTTTTACGAAAAAAACATAAGATACTTCTTATTAAGTTATTAGGCATTACTAGATTAGCCAAAAAAAATGTTAGTCTCCACACCAGATAATGCTAAAGAACCTCCTTACAGGCGTAATCAGCGCACAACATGCCCGGGACCGTGCGGCCGCCAACTTTCTATCGGTGCTTCTATAAAACCTATTTTGTAAAGTTTCTTTTTCAGGCGTCGTCGAGGAGCACATTTCCTGGGGATGCCCCAGCCACCTTGCCGATCCGGTGGAATGCCCTTTATGCCCGGAGGAGATCAAGGTATGGCTTTTTGGGTTTTGTTTATTTTTGTAAATTCAGACGCAAATCGCCCTGCTTCTCCACTGCACCGAACAGCACAACATGGAAACGATGGCCCTGCAAGAGAAGACGTTCGACAATTGGCCGGCTGCTGAGGTGAGAGAGTATCCAAAATTTTAAATTTCTTTTTGATTTTTATTGATATAATCTTTATGCTGAATTTTCTGTAATGATTTTTTTTCAGGAATTTGTATCGAGCGGGGATATGAAAGAGGAGGAAGCCGTGATGATTCTCTCTGTTGGCGGGACGGCCTCTGTCAAGACTTATACGTAAGTTTTCAGATAAAATTTTAAAAACGCTTTAAATGAATTTAATTTGCTTTTCTTGGCAATATCGAAGCAACTTTTTTGTTATGACATAACCGTCTAGTGGCGTATTAGTATTTTTTTTATAGTGTTTTTCGTAAAGTTTAACTAAATTTTAATCGAAAAGCGGCCTAGCTTAGTCGAGAAATTTATATTTTTTTTGTATTTTTCGTCATAATTTGTAACGTTTTTGTGCATTGAAACATCAAAATACCGCTTAGACACACTGCTCTTTTATATTTAAAAAATTGGATCATTACGAAGAAAATCCCCGCCCCGATAATGCAAAAGAACCTGATTTTAATCCTTCGTTTTCATCAAATTTCTTTTTACTTTATTTCTTCCATCTTCAGGTGCTCCTACGGCTTGACGATGGACTCGAAGAAGCGCTGCACCGCCTACTATGCCGCCCGGAAACAAAAGGATAATCGGTTCGTTCAGTGATCTTTTTTGTAGTTTGTAGAAAATTGTAATTTTTATGTTTTATATCTAAAATTTTATATTTGAAATTTTAGGGTCTGCGTCCGTTACTGTGAGCGCCACACCCATTGGGAGGAGCCACCTGCCGAACCGGAGCCGGAAACCACTGAACCTGCCGGACGCCCGACCTACAAGAAGCCGCCAGCCCCGACTAAACCCTAACTTTTTAAAGTATCTCCCCCTTTCTTGCACTCCAAATGTCAGCCACGGGTCGATTGTATTTTCGTCCGCCTTTCAACCCAAATATTCGCCCTCCTCACCCACTTGATTCATGCTACTAACGCTTTTATATGTTGGAAACTCTTTTAGTGATTGGTGCTCATGTTTTCAATAAATGTTTACAACTTTACGCTTGTAACAATTCAACACGGTTCTTTCGCTTTATCGGGGGGACCTAATATGCATTATTTTCGCGGTGATTTTAGTATAAAAACTATACTTCTGCTAGAAAACTGTCGGTAAGTAAGGGGAAAATGAAAATATATATTGTAATATGAAATAGATAGAATGTAGTAATATAATTATATTAAAGTAAATAGTCAGTAGTATACGGCAAAGCGAGTCCCCTGAGAGCAAGAGGGCAGCTGCGAGAGGCCCCTAGTGGACTGCTTGGGTGCCCCTTATTTGTTTGTCCTTATGTCTTGTAATGTGTCTGATCAGTGAAATAGTGAATGAGAAATTGGGAAAAGCCCCTTCCGCGAAAACTTTTGAAAAAATCCGAAAACCCGAAATTTCGGTAAAAAATGGCAGACTTTGCTCTAAAACCCGATATTTTTGCATTTCTTTTGAATAAAAAAAACTGTGTAAAGTTTTTACGTGTAGGAAAAGGAAAAATGGTTAGAAACACTTCGGGCATTTTTATATTAGAAAAATTGGATCTTTAGAAAAAAAGTTGCTCCCCCCGATAATGCGAAAGAACCTAAACTTGTGCCCATCAAACACTCTTCCCACGCACATTTCACTTTCAAAATTTTCAACAACCATTCTAATTTTTTAGTTTTGTTTCACTTTCGCGGAAACCTCTCGGCCGGGCAACTTTTGGCGGACTACGCGCCACTCCTCTCCACGCATGTCGGGGCCGATTTCCTTCAAAAGTGTCTGCCAAAGGTTGGGTCCCGCCGCGAACGTCGAGCCGATACCATGGAGGTACTGTAGCTAGAAAAGACGGGTTAGCGATAACCACATGACCCCGAGGGAACCCGATTCAGAATTGTCTTTTTTGAGATTACTTTTATCAAGTTTTTCGCGCTTTGGTACCTTTAGCTAGCGTAATTAGATGGGAAAGCTTTAGAAACGAGATTTGGCCCTTGGTATTTGTATATTTTGTGAAAACTGATATTTCTTCTCGAATTTATGACGATTTTAAAAAGGCGGAAATGTTTCGAATAACATTTTACAGCTCCTCCGAGATTCGTAGATTAAATATTATGTCTGAAAAAGAGCATTTTTTCTTTTTATTGCCAGTAAACTCGTAATAATCCAATTTTCCAGATACTTGGACGATGGAAGATGAGGCCCCTAGCCTAGAAATAATGGAACAACAGGTAAAAACGGTTAAAAAGCGCTAAAAATGCCATTTTTTCAGGAAGATGCAGAGGAGGAAGTCTATGACGAGTTCAGTGTCGAGGATTTGATACAGGTAAAAACAATAAGTATTTCGTATCTAAATCATCGTTAGCCGCCAGAGGATGAGATCGCTGATGAGCCTGAAGAAGCTGAACCGGAACCGGAAGAGTTCGAAGCCCCACCACCGCCTCCCGCTTGGAAGCCAAAACTCAAGATTAGCAAGGTCCAGCACCCGCAGTCGAAGCTGGGGCATAAGGTCCAGAAAAGGGTATAACTTTGGAAGAACGATTTTCGAATTATGATATCTTTTAGACAGCCAGAGAATGCTTCCAATGCGGCGCGACGGAAGGTGATGGCAAGGACGGGCCAACTTTGGTGAGTTTTCTTGTGTTTTTTCTAATTATAAACCTTTTTCAGCGCTTCTTTCGCTGGGATGATGCGCTGCGCGTCGAGAAGATCCTGACTTCCGGGAACAGGAATTACAAGGACGAGAAATTGCGTGGATTTTTGAGGGTAGGGTAGTTTTTGGACATTTCACGTAATTTTTTTGTAGGATAAGATCCATTTCTTCATCTGCGCCGACCACCTCATTGTCGGCGTCTCGCAGATGATGCAGCGCCAGCAATTGGTAAGAGAAAACGATATTTTTGAGGTAAAATACATCTTTTTTTTCTAGAGACATGAATGCTGCATCTGCGAGGAAAAGCTGAACACATCCCAGAAACGTGATGTCCTCACCAGAATGGCCGCCCGGCGCCTCGACGCTTTGTTAGGGACGGATGGGTCGATTAGCCGAGCTATGAGCGTAATTTTGACTTTCGGTAGTTGGAACTTCTGATTTTAGGCCCTCCGTGATCGTCCGGATATGCTGGCCAGGCAGGGGCGAGTCCAGATTTGCAAGACGCATGTCACCGCCCAGATGAGATCGATCTTGGTTGGGATTTTCTTGTTTTTTTAAGCACGTATGGTTTCTTCCAGAAAACCGAGAACGCGAAATACGACCGGAATCTGAAGAGTTTTGCCGATTTGGATGTGAGTTTGAAAGTTTTTTGGCCTAAAAAATTACAAAAAAATGTTTTTTGCCGCGTTTTTTATTTCATAGACTACGTTTTTAATGCGTTTTTTATTTAATTGTTTAACTATTGGGTGCTGTCCCCTTCGGGGTTGCCGGTCCGGCCTTCGCCGCCCCCCCCCTCCTTTTTTTTTTTTTTAAAGCCCCCCCCCCCTTAAAAATCTAAACCCCCCTAAACTCCGCTTCGCCTTGGATCCGTGACAAACCCCCCTAATCCCCCCTCCCCCCTAGGCCTATTTTAAATTATTTTTAATTTAATTCTTTTTTCAACAATTAATAAAATAATTTTTTTAAATTATTTTTTTAAGCTTAGCCTTTCCCCCCCCACAGAAAAAACTTATTTAAAAATTTGTTTACCCTAAAAATAAAACTAAAAACAAAGGAAGTTTTCGGGGGCCCCTTAACCTCTTCTAAAAATTTCTTTCCCCCCCTAATTCTTTACACCAATATTGATTTATTTAGACGACCTGCTACCTCTGCGGCCAAGAGAATTACGAGGGCCACCGGGTCCCGATGCGCAACATAATGAGCTGGACCGGGGCCCAGGTGCTCGACGAGACGATCGAACACGGCGAAGAGCGCTTTTTCACCACGATGAAGGAGGTATTCAGTTAAAATGTAGCTGTAGTTTTATCCATTTTTAGCGTGGTTCGAAGAACATCATCATCTGCGAGAGTCACTTCACCCCGGAAACTCATGCTCGCCTCGTAATCTATTTTTGTAGTCAAAAAGTTACTTTGATTTAGGATGAAGTCCAAGCCAAGGACGCCGAGCGCAAATGGCAGAAGTATCAGCAGCAGGAGCTCAAGGTTAATATTTATTAGCTGAAGCTTGGACTTAATAGGACCTATTTTAATGGTGTTTTTGGTAAAAAAACTATTTAAAACATTAGAACTACCTAAAAAAGAATTCTAAAAAAATTGTTTGAAGTCAAATTTTGGCTAAGAAATTGGCCAATTTTGGTCGAAAATCGTTGTTTTTACTAAAGATTTGCAATTTTTCCAAAATAAAAAATTACCCAGGAAAATGAGTTGCCCCGATAGCAGGGGTGGGCAACTTTTTGCAGCGGCAAAATCCCGGCAGTCCATTTTTCGGGGGTCCGGCAGTCCATTTTGGAAGGGAAAAAGCGATTTTTGGCCTGCGGCTACGCCGCCATACGTGGGTTACCATTTGATGGCGCAATTAGATAGATTCCATGGACTTTCACGGTCTGGGAGTGACGCCAAATTGTGGACCACATTGTTCCGCGTCGAACCATACCCTATATGTCCCGTCGGTAGTCCGTTATCCTTGAGCTGTTCGAACGGATGTATGGAAATAGAGTTATTTTATAGAATTTTCCTCTCTATTTTTGTAATATGGTAGTTTTTCACGCTGAAAGTGACACCAGATTGTAGATCTCGTCATTGCGCGTCGAACCATACCCTAAATGCCCCTTCGGCAGTCCGACTTCATGGACATGAAGGACTGCCGGAACGGAAAAACTAGTTTTTTGAGGTTTTTCCGGCATAATTCCGGAATACGGTAATTTGAGGGCCTTAGAGTGGCACCCAATTGTAGATCTCACGATTGCGCGTCGAACCATACCCTACATGTCCTTTCGGCAGTCCGACTTCGAGGAAATGTTGGACTGTCGGATTTGAACCCGCGTCTGCAAAATGTCTGCAAAATGTAAATCGCTCTTTTTTACCTCCTAAATCGGACTGCCGACGCTTTGCTTTTCCAGGCCTTAAATAGAACAGATTACGGTCCATCTCCTCCGAAAATTTGAGCCAAATCCATCGTCAAATTATTTAGATATGATTTTTGGAAGAAACTCGTAAAATGTGCTCCTGCAAAATGGCCTCAAACTCGGCAGTCCAGGATCTCCGGCCTCCTACGTTTTCTTAAGTAGGCTGATACACCACCAGATAGCCCCAAGCCTGAGCTACAAAATGAGCTGCCTACCGTCTCGGTGCGCTGTTGGGGCCCCGAGATATGGGCCCCTAAAGGGTCGCGACCCGGTCCTCAAAAACCCGTTTTTTTCATTTTGCAGATGCGGGTTCAAATCCGGCAGTCCAACATTTCCTCGAAGTCGGACTGCCAAAAGGACATGTAGGGTATGGTTCGACGCGCAATGATGAGATCTATAATCTAGTGCCACTTTCAGGCCCTCAAATTACCGTATTCCGGAATTATGCCGGAAAAGCCTTGAAAAACCAGGTTTTCCGGTCCGGCAGTCCAACATGTCCATGAAGTCGGACTGCCGGCGGGCCTTGTGAGGTATGGTTCGACGCACAATGATGAGATCTATAATCTGGTGCCACTTTCAGGCCCTCAAATTACCGTATTCCGGAATTATGCCGGAAAAACCCTCAAAAAGGCACTTTTCATTTAAAACCCCCAAAATGTCTCGAGGACGGGCAGCCGGTTGGGTATGCAGGATATGGTTCCATGTTCGCCTTCTACAATTTACTGAGTACCCAAAAGCCCCCAATGCTTACTACATGCAATAATTCAAATATTCAAACAAATGCTTCTTTCCGTTTTCCCGATGAAATACTTGTTACCTGCAATGTTGAATTGTTAAAAATCTCAAATTTTTTTCCGGCGCTCCGCGCCGTCTTCCCCCGCCCTCCCGGCAGTCCCTGCCCCGCCACCAAAATCCCGGCAGTCCCCATTTTGCAGATCTACCTACCTTGCCCACCCCTGCCCGATAGCACACAAGAACCAATAATTGGTATTCTTTTCAGGACAATAACTTCCGCGGCGATCAGCAGTACAAGCCGGCAATGTTCCGCAAGAGTGCCCCGTACCAAATTTCCGCGCCGACAGAGGTGATATCCATTTTTTCGAGGGTATTTTATCATTTTAGGCGGGCGGAGAAACGGATGCTCGAGCACCAGCTGAGGACGGTGCGGAAGGCAGTGACGACGAGGCGCGAAAGATTTCCGAAGCGCTCGCCATTTTTTCGGAGAGCTTTCCGAGGGTAAGTTTTATTGGTTTCCGTATTTATCAATTTCCTGATGGGTGATCCCGAATTTTAGAAACCTGGACCTGGACGGCCCCGAAAAGAGCTAAAAAGGGAAGAGGTCAGGGTGGAGCCAAACGCCGAGGAGGTGCTCCGGGAATTGCTCGAAAAGCCGGTAATTTTTTTATTTTACAGTTTCTCTATTTTTGTATTATTCTTATTACGGGATCTTCCGATTCTAATTGATTTTTAGGACGGAAGAAGACGTAAGCGCAGAGCCCAAGAATACGAAGATGGGCAAATTGACGATGAGCACGAGGGAATTCATCCCTATATGCTGAAAAAGATTGTGGGTTTTGGATACGTAGTCATTATTTTTGGGTTGCTTTAGAAACCCGAGCCGGTCGATGAGGACGAGATGAGGCAGGAGGATGAGGAAGAGCAGGAGCAGGATGAGGAGCAGGATCAAGAAGAGAAGCCCGCTTCAGACGAAGGAAAAGAGGACTGGAGCTCGATACTTCAGGAAATCGACGAGCTGACTGCGCCGGCGATGTAAGCTTTTCAGGCGTATCTGATTTTCTAAATTTTTATTTTAGCGATCATCCCGCCAATCCTGTCGTCTCGGCCATGCGCTCGGAGGCGTATGTGCAATGCGTCAAGTGCCGTAAGACGATCGAGACCAAGGACAAGGAACAGATGGAAAACTTGGTTAGTTTTGGCTCGTTTAGCGGTATATTGATGCCTCTTAAGAATAAATAAAGTATGTATATAATGTTTTTAGTAATTTTTGATTGATAGAAAATTCGAAATTTTTTGCGTTTTAGCCTATTACCCGGAAAAAGTTGCCCCCCCCGCTAACAGCCCAGCACCCCCATTTTCTAGATGGAGATCACGCGCAAGAACGCGAACTACATGGAGGACGTGCTGATGGCCGACGGCCAGACCACCCAGCTGCTGCGCAACATGCGCAAATGGGTCAAGTACGGCAACTCGTACGTCTGCCGCAGCCACGTTGAGGAGGGCAAGCGGTTGTTGGACCAGCGGGAAGCGGCCATGGTGAGTAACTTGTGGATTTTGGTCATCTCCATTTTTAGGTTGTCTGCTGCTGCGTGTGCGCCTCGGAGACGCCGCGCAAGCACTGCATCCACGTGAAGACGCGCGTGCAAGCGCAACGACTTGACCAAGTGATAGGCAGCAACATGAAGGTGTCCGTGTCGTTTTTGGTACGGTTTTTCAGGATTTTTGCGCAAATCGAATAAATTAATGGCGTGCAAAATGGCTTCAGCTTTTAATTTGTAAATTATGAATTTTTAATTTTTTTAAAATTTAAATTTTAAAGAATTTTAAATGCTAAAAAGGCCACCTTTTGGGGTGGTTTTTGTAGTGGCGAAATTTTTGATTTTGTGTATTTTTTTCCAGAACCACAGCCAATACGGACGTCATCGAGCCAAAAACCCGACGTACGTCTGCAGGGATCACTTGTGTACAAAGTTTGATGAGGCCGCCGCCCAGCGAAAATCCACCCTGCCCGCCCCCTCCGGGAAACCCTATTTCAAGCAAAAGGCCTTGCAGGTAGCAGTAGCGTCAAGAGTTTCGATTTTTTCGCTCAGGGCAACAACATGTGCCAAATCTGCGGGTTCGTCGGGTCGGGCGCCGAGCGGTCGTTGGTTTTCGTCGACGACCCGGCCGAGATTCGCCTCTTCGACGATCTGTTCTTGCTGAACGGGGCGCTCTGTCGGTACAATGTGAAGAATGTAAGTTGGATGTCTTGGTACTGGACTGTTAGCGGGGGGGGAACTGATTCTTGTTTTCCGTCTAATATCTGTTAGTAATCAGTAGCGCCTTTTTATAGTGTTTTTTTTAGTTTTTGGATGGTAAAAAGTTAGAGAAACGATTTAAAAAAAAACTTTTTTTTTATTTTTGGGTCAGGGAAATTTAAAAAAATTTTTAAAAAATTTTAGAAAAAAAAAAAAAAAAAAAAAAAAAAAAAAAAAAAAAAAGTGAAAAATTTAATTTTTTTTTTTTTCTTTTTGGGCAATTTTCACGCATCTTTGACCAAACTGGTAGAAATTTTCAAAAATTGGTTCCTATGAGCTTTTTAACCTAAAAACCGTTTAAAATGCTATAAAATGTTTTTTATTTTTTTTGCGTAGGGCGGTACGGGTTTATTGGGAAAAATCAATTTTTTTCCTCCGTCGAACCCGCCCCCCCTCGCTAACAGTCCAGTTCCGACTTTTTTGCTATTTCTGGCCTGGAAAGCGACATGGGAAATCTTATATTTTTTCCAGATGGGAACCGGCGTCGGTTTCTGTCGCAGCCACATCACCAACGACATCAAGGAGGAGTGGGAGCTGTGGAAGTCGGCGCGGGCGATGCTCAATGGCAGCCAGCCCGTCCCGTCGCCCAGCTTTCATTCAGCGGTAAGGTTTTTGGAGGTGATATTATAGCTTTTTTTGTAGAACCTAACTCGCCCAATTTCTCCCCTGACGGCGCTGGTGGATGCGGCGGCACCGGTAAAATTTGTTTTTCATCTTTTTAAGGCAGATTTTAGAAACGCGGGCGACCGGTGGGCGGCCAGAAGCGTGACCTCAGCGACGTGCTGAACGCCGTCTTGCAAGATATCGACCCGGACCAGGAGGATGATGACTTCCCGGAAGAGCAAGAAGTGGTAAAGATTAAAAATTTTGGAAAATCAATTTTTAGACTAAATTTAAAAAAGCGAATTTAAACAATAGCAGAATCAACTTTTCTATTGTCCAGTAATAAAATGTTTACTGTTGTTATAGTCTTGTACGCCGTTTTAAGTGATGCTGGTCTGTTAGCGGGGGTGGAAAAATTTCTAAAATCGTCATAAAACGTGAATTTTTGCTCTTTTGGAAAAATGAAAATGGTTGCAAGTGAGCTGGAATCATCGATTTAATTTTTGAAGTCTAAAGTTTTTAAAATCGTCCAATTCGCAAATTTAGACCTCACCCACGGATCAGCAAGGGAGGAAGCTCGGCTATACAATTGCGGTCAGTTTTTGTGTTCTGGTTTTTTTAGTTTTTTAAGCCGACCCTTTTTGGGGTTACCCCTTAATTTTTGGAATTTTTTCAGAAGCCCGACGCCCCAACGATCATCAAGGTGACGCCGTCGCGCGTTCTGACGAGCTCTTCGGAGCACAGCCCTGCCGAACCCTCCACGTCTTCTCCCGGTCAGCCCAAAACGCCGGTAACCAGGCGGATTGTGGTTAGTTTTTGACTGGATATTTTTAATTCATCGAAATTTGCTTAATTTTTAACTTTGTAGGCCAAAATTTTCCTTTTTAGTACCGCAGCGCGGGCGGCGAGCTGAAGCAGATACCATCCGCACCTCGGCCATCGGATGCTGGCCAGCAGAGCGCCGACAAGAAGCCGATGGTGATGAAGCCGGGCGGGGCAGCTGGTGGCACGCCTTTGGTATTATTTTATAGCTTTTAGATAATTATCTGATTTTTAGAGTCGCCCGATTCGGCCGGTGATCACCAACGTCAGCAAGCCGCTCACACCGGGGGCTTCCGGTCCGATTACTGGACGATTTATGGTATATCTTTAGGCGTTTAAAAACGGCTTAGAGTTTTCGCTTTCCGGAAAATTTATGGAACTTTCAAAAACTTAAAATGTGTAATTTTAGGTGCCAAAATACATCGGCGGAAGGGTGGTGAACACGCTGGCCTCTCCGGTTTCAACCTCCCTCCCCTCGCTCGCCTCATTGCCGTCAACTTCCAAGTTTCCACCCTGGCATCCGGTAATATCTCTATCTTTTGCCCTGTAAACTTGCTGATTTAGGCGCCATTCCGCCCTCCACAGAAGCTTGTCTACCCCAGCTTCGTCCCGCAGCGGCAGGACACCGACGAGGACGAGGCGTGCGAGGCGCTCACCGTGTCGACTGGATATCGCTGGAGAAATGTAGGAGAATAGGGTCTTTTCGTTTCTCGCTCACTCTTTCTCTCTCTCTCTATCTCTCTCTCTCTCTCATGCCGATATTTTAGGCACACACGTGCGTCGTTTGCGGCCATCGCAATCTGATGGACCCCCGGCAGAGTGACTGGGAGCGGGAGGTGAACTTCAAGCCGAAGAAGACGGTGCTCTCCTTTGAAGAGGCCGAGCTGGCCGATCGGATGATACCCGGCGCGAAGGGCATCTTCACCAGGATAAAGCAGGTGAGAAAAAATGGTTTTTCGAATTAACTAAAAGTTTTTAGATGGGAAAGCTGCCGATCTTCTGCCATCACCACGTCGACATGACGAACTGGGTCAGTGTTTTTTATTTGAATTTTATAATTTCGGCAAAATTCTTAGGGCCCCTGGTTCTTTGGCATTATTAGGGGTATTTTCAGCTTTCAGGGTTTACCCATTTTTCCGATAGGTTCAGATAGGCGGTGTAAGCTTTTGAACAGTATTTTAATAGTGTTTTTGTAAGTTTTGACTTGATTGAAGTGGATAAACCGTCTAGAAAGCTTAGCAGTTTTTTTGGAAGTTTTTAGAAGTTTTGATCAAATAACTAGACATTTGTATTTTTTAGTAAAAAATGTATAAAGATTTTTATGTTAAAAACCCGCAGAAACTGAGCATCTATTGATATTGGAAAGGTTGCAGCCTATGGAGAACCCCTCCCCCCCATAATGGAAAAGCACGGAAAATTGCCATATTTTACGCGCTAAAATAAAATTACTTGCCTGGTAAATCAATGTATACTTTTCTTTTTTTCAGCGCGTCGCCCTGGCGTCGATCCGCTTCGAGCAGGACAGGGCGGTCCCTGTGCCGCAGCCGAAGCCCATCGTGAAGCTCATCCCAAAGCCCATCCCGAAGCCGGTGATTCAGCGCCCTCCACTCCCCAAGCCTGTCTTCGAGGGGCCAAAGCCGCGTCGCGGCCGGCCGCCGAAGAAGAAGCCCGAGCAGGTCGGTTTTTAGCGTTTGGCCTCGAGATTCCCCCAAATCATATACAAAATGTCGCAATTTCGTCATTTTGAGGTTCTGGTTCATTAGCGGGGGGAATAACCCTCAAAATGGGCTTGGTAGACCGATTTTGGAACTTTTGACATGCTTTTGACGCTATCATCTAGAGCACCAAAAAATAATTACAGTTTTAATTACAGCTAAAAATAATGTTTCCTAAAATAAAAAAGGAATGGACAAAAAATGTTTCCACCCCCGGTAACGAACCAGAACCTATTTTGATTGTGAAAAAGTTTTTAAAAACACCGCGCGGTTGGCTCAAGCTTCTTCCGGATTTTTGAGATCCTAATTTATTCCATTTTTTTTAGTACGACTACACCGAGTTGCTGAAGAACATTGCCGACATCAAGGCCGAGCCGGCCGACGATGAATGACTACTAACTGATTGATTGATTGTTGATCTCCACATTTCTCATCTACCTCCTCCTCCTCTCATTATGCTATGTTATGTTATGCGCCCAATCCCTGCTGCCGATTTGTTGAAAATGTTGTTGTCTTTTAACCGGATTCTACGTGAATGCCCCGTGTGTCTGCCTTCTCATGGATACTTTTCCATTGACAAGCCCTGTTCTCTTACAATACATTTAGTCACCCGTTGGCGAGTAAAGTTGCGCAATTTACACGCTGTGTTTTTTTGGAAATTGCAGACAACATGCAGAGGTATTTGCGGAAATGTGATAGAGCTACCGGTCTCTGACCTGACAGAGTTATTTAGAGCGTTGAGAAGCCGTTCAGCTTTGCTCCACTTTAGCCGCTGATCTGAAATTAGTTTCGGAATCGAGAGGTAAACTTGCAAGGGACTTGCAACTATGAGGAACAGAATCCGATGATTATGGGAATTCATACTCTTGTTTCGAGCACGGAACTGTTGCTTTAGAGCTTACGTAATCAGCTACTGCAAAAATCATGTTAAAAATCGCGGGCAAACTTGCGGAGATCCTTGGGGAACCGAATTAGATTCGTATGATGAATTACCGCTGGTATTTAGAGCATTGAAAAGCCGTTCAGCTTCAATTCTGCTGTGATAGGAAAAATTACAGTGATTTTTGAGGAATAAATCGGATACATTATTTAACGGGTTTCGAATCTTTCCTGCACCTACTCCACTCTGTCTTTTACCTTAAATCCACTTCCTCGTGCATCTCTAACCCTAAAAAATGGGCTTATTTTGCTGTGGCCCGGGTAGCTTTAGCCTTTAGGGCTTTTTTGAGTGGTGACAAACAATCCTCGGGTAGGTAACGACGACTGACTGGTTGGGAGATGGATAAAGTCGTGTTCACCCAATGACACACGCGGATATCACAGGGGTATCAGGCGATAGAAAAAGGGATAGACAGAGGGTTAGAGAGCGAGAGAGAGGGAGAGGGAGATAGGGAGGGAGCGAGAGAGTAGGAGATAGGAAGAGAGAGAGAGAGCGAGAGTGAGAGAGATACAGACTTTTTCCCAGGTCCTAAAAAGCTTCACCCTTTCCCAGCCGGCTGACTGCAAGCAGCCCCGGCTGACGGCGGTCAGGCGGGTCGACTGGATGGACGAGGCGACAGTGTAATGTTGGGCCCCTCTTCCGCTAGGGCCTCTCTCTCTCTCTCTCTCTATCTCTCTCTCGCTTTCTTTGTCCCAACTCGAGGCAAAAGCACTCCACACTCTCATTTCAGCATCCAGGTTCGCCTCGGGTTTTTTTTGTGTGCGGTTCGAGACGTGAACCCGTCAGACTTCCTCAAGCAGTCTGGCCGGATGGTTTCGATTTTTGTGGATTTAGCTTTCAAATTCAAGCATCTTCTAGGATTTTCAAGTCTGAAAAAATGTCTTTAGGTAAAGATGAAACACGATTCAAAACTTAGTTTTACCATAATTTTTCAGGAATTTCTTACGTTACTCAAAATTTTTCCTATGTTTATGACATATCTATTTGATTATAACTTAATTGTCGATCGTTTCGGGGGATATTTCAGGTTGTTTTCCCCTAAAGGCCCATCTGCTCTCGATTTGAGTGTTTTCGGCCCCGTTCGCGAGCTCTTACTTCAACAGTTCCCCCAGCTTTCAGATAGTTAGCCCCTTTTCCCTGGCGACGACGACTATACTAAACTACCCTATTTACTACGGAAAATGAAGTGATGTTACATTAGAGAGTCAAGATGGTGAAAAGTTTATTCGAATACGCGCTGGCTGGTGAGTAATATTTGGAAAACTTGTCTTAAAATCTTGAAAAACGCCTTAAATTTCCTGAAACATCCCGAAGAACGGTCGTAAAGGCTATAAAAGTCCATTAAATATGCACAGGAAGGTACCTTAACCACTTGAAAAGCTTATGATCAAGAAAACAAGGGTTTACCGCAATTTTGTGCGTTAAAAACCGGCTTTAAAAAGGTTTTGATAACTTGTCGAACAGCCTAAACTTTAGTGCGCGATTTGGATGTTTTAATGAAAGTTTTATGGGTTAATAAGCAATAATAAGGCGAAAATCTAAGCCCTGAAAAGCTTAGCAGGTTCTATCAATACTTTTAGTGGTGTGCCGCGAGCGCATCGACCTGGACCTCGGCTACATCCCCACGAATTGCAAGGAGCGCGTTTTGGCATTTTTGTCGAGCCATGATCGGGTAAATTTTAGATGGATTTTAGTACTTTTTAACTTTATAAATCAACGATAGAAAGTAAGCTTATTTTTGCAGCTTTCCCTCAACAACAACGCCGATCTGGTGAAGTTTCCGATATTCGGCATGAATCTGACGACCATTCATTTCTATTTGTCGGAAGAGGTAATGTAACGTAAAATAAACACTTTTTAACCATTTTTCTGCTCTTAAAAAGGATAAATTTTACCTAGAAAACTGTAATAAGATGAAAATGGCTGTTCTTAAAAGTTTTATCGCTTTTTCCAGGCCATATGCTGTAAAAACCCTGTGAAAAAATCGTTATAACTTTTATTTCAGCTAAACGACCAAATGCTGCACCACTTGACGGAATACAACAAATTCCTGGAACGAATTACCCTTATTGACTGCAAAAATATCAGCGACCATGGGCTGCAGACGGTCACGAAAGGCCAATTTAACCTGAGGCTCCTCGAGTTGAGGGCAATGTCGCAGGTGAGGAAGTTAACGCTCGTTAAAAAGGAAAAGTCTAGATAACCGACGCTGGGTTAATTTATATAAGAACTCCGCATCTCCAGACGGTCGATTTGAGCGGTTGTAAACAGGTTAGTTGTTACAAACTCTGTTTTGGCTTTTCAACAGTTTTTACTTAAACTTGAATTTACTTAAACGATATTATAACGTTAAAAACCCATTAAATCTCACTGATTACGTTAGTCGCCAAAACTACATATTTGAGGCTTTATAACCATAAATAACGTGTGTCGCCACTAGGCGGTTTTAAGCACTTTTACACGCGTAAAACTTAGAAGGGTTTAGGTATCCGCTTTAAACATCGATATCATACCTTTAGAGAAACCTTAAATCTTTTCAGATAACTTCCGAGGGCCTACGCGAGCTATTATCTTGGAATCGTAACATCGAGGGCCTTTATCTAAATACTTGCACGGGTCTCGACGAATCATCCTTCTACCATATCGCCTATTACTTGGGGGAAAATTTGTCCGTGAGTCCACTTTTAGGGAGCAAGACAGTCAAGAAAAAGAATTTTTGCAAATAAATGAGAATGACATTTGAGCAACAACTTTTCTGTGCTCAAACTGATATTCTCTGAGACTTGAAGAGTTGTTGCTCGATTTTCATCGACCACATTTTTTTTGAAAGCTCAAAATCAACTCGGTTCAGGTGCTCGAGCTCGACTTCCTCGACCGGATCCCCGATTCCCCCGGAGTTTTGGCCCACCTCAGCCAGAGTTGCCAGAACTTGCGACAGTTGTCATTGGCCCGGTTTTTCCAGGTCGGTATTTTGCAGCATTTAGCGTATTTGATAGCTCCTTTTTAAACTTGTGGGCTCTGAACTCAAGCGGATTTGGCCAATAATCATAGGGAAAAGCCTGTTAACATTCCTTGGGCTTTCCACAGCTTATGTTTTGGCTTTAACAGACAAAAGGAAAAGCGTGAAGTTGTCTTTGTGGTTTTTCGGTCTCTTTTCTATGCCTTTCAATCTGCTGACCGTGCCATTCGACCAGCTAGACCACCTAAAGCCTCGTCAACAACCTCGTATTTTCCCCAAAGGGCGTTCGCGGGTAAACGGCACTGGCAGCCACATGGCCATCCAAATGTTTACCCAAGAGAAATAGGCAAAAAGCTCGTAAATAGGGATCCAAATCAAATTAATACGATTGAGATATTAAAGATATTTAAAAAATCGTACTCACGTCAAAAAAGCGTTTTTCAGGATGAAGAAATGCTAGAAGTAAACCCCTATCGGATCGACGGTGCTTGCCTTACAAATGTGGATTTATACGGTTCGTTTTTTAGTGGTTGTTATGCTAAATAAGGACTGAAATAAACCTTCGATTTTAGGGAATTTCTTTGTAACTCTACCCTCTCTGCCCCCAACCCTTCAACACATCCGGTTATGCGTTTCCGGGGAAGAGGATGTGGCCAGATTGGTTTGTTAATTTTAGTATAGCTTTTAATACAAAAATTGGCTATAAAATCGAAAAATAATCTATTAAAAATTGACAAAACGCCTTTTAGTTGGAAAGTTTCGAAAATCTGCTCTTCCTCGAGAGCATCGATCTCATCGTCACGTGTCGCGAGGATAGTATTGTGGGTTTTTTCACATTTTTGAGGCTTTTAGAAAGCTTTAAAAAGCTTTAAAATATTGATGTGGCAATCGGAAAATTTTTAACGTATAACTTAATAAGTTTACGACCTTTTCCAGCAAGCAATTGACTCGGCTAATAATCTCCTCTGCTCTCTACTACCATTTATTGGCCCGAAAATCAACTTATTACAGGTTTGATCTACGATTTTTCCTGTTTACGGCAAAAATTTAGATTTCCGTGGTGCGCCTCTTCGACCCGGTGCTGCGGTTTATCCGGGAGTACTGCTTGAACTTGTCTCATCTGGCTCTGGATGTGAAGGGGATGAGCAATTTGCTATTTCAGAAGCTGTTTAGCCGTCAGTTTTTCGGGTTATAAGCTTTTTTTTAGTAAGGTGGATCACAGCGGCCCGGCTCCTAATAAAACGTTCGGTAGTTTTGGAAAGGAGGGAAGACCGCAACGCGTGCGATCGACGCGTCGCGCAATTGCGAAAGCAGGCCTGCGCAGCTAAAAACCGGTTGCTATTCCGTGCACCTGGGAAAAACACGTACATTACGCCCTTTCCCTTGAACCATCCGGACCGAACCCATGGGCGGTTGTGGGATATAAACTGAACTCCTATTAATTTTTACATAAAACCCCACGTATTTGTGGCTTCAGGAGGTCCTGGCGCGAATTTGAAAACCCTGAAGATGTCGAAAATGCGGCTTTCTTACCGGATGCTGTTTACGATCGCCAGATCGGCAAGGCAAATCACGGTATGTTTTTGAATGTGTTCTTTCTGACTAATTATAATTTTGATATATTTTTTTTTAATTTATGATTTTTAGGAGTTGGAAAGTTCTTACATGACGTGTGTCGATGATCGATTCCTCTCGCTACTCTCCGCAAATTGTGCCCATCTTCAGAACGTCAATTTTAATGGCTGCCGATATGTTTCGGACAAGGGGTTGACGAAAATGGCGAGGTTTGTCAGATTTAACGTGTTAACTAATGCTAAATTTTTAAAAATAACCCATTACCATTTTACGAAAAAAGGCAGATTTTTGAAGTAGTTAAAGATAATTTCCATAGCTTTTGACGAGCTTGTGAATTATTTCCCTAAATTTATCCGATTTTTCGCGTCGCTAATTCAGTACTTTATATACCTGCGAACGTCATTTTTGACGGCTCGGATAGTGAGCGCGTCACCGAAAAGAACGATCTCCAAAAACAAACAGATCTGCCAGTTTTGAGCGCAATTTTCAGGATGTGCCCGTTGAAAGAAGTGCGGATACGTGGGACCGGATGCACCGATCGCTCGTTACAGGTTGGTAGAGCGAGAAAAACGAAATATCTTCTTGATGTTTGCATTAATAATTAGGGATACGTGCATTTTTTGTAAAGAATTTAAGGACTCGGTTTTATTATATTAAAGGAAAAAGTAGAACATCAAAAAATGCGATTTTTTAGTAATTTTACGTGGAAAAATAGCCCTAAAAGAATGGCGCCGGTTTTCAAGTGATCAAACCCAAATTATGCTATGAATTTCTGCCTTGAACGTTTCTTCTAAATCAAAGAACACGTCTCCAGGTGCTGTCGGAATGGTGCCCACAATTGGAGTGGATCTCTTATGCCGACTACACGGGTCGCCCACGCTTCACCGAGGAGGCCATCAACAAGCTCAAAGCCGCCTGCATCAACAAACTCATCTGCTAGAGGGTTTTTGAAGGAATGAGCTCAACATCTGTGATCACATTAAATGCACAAATACTCTGCTTATGCCCTTGCTTTTGTATAAATGGCTTTGATGGTTACCTGGAGTTTGCACAAGAATCATAATTTCAATCATTTCGAGAAAGCCTTTTTGTTTTGCTTCGAAAATATCCTACGTTCCATATTTCGCGAAGCGGCCTGCGTTAACGAAAAACCCTCTCAAACCAACATATTCCGCCAGGTAAAATATTCTTATAGAAATCCTCCCGACATTACCATATTCCGAAGGGTTTTGCTGCCAACATTTTTTAACGGGAAGCCTCGCGTCAATCGCTATATTACGAAGCCCTCTGCGTCAAATTTTCACACACGAATCTTTCTTTTCCTCCAACAAACTACCATTTGCCGTGTTTTGATATTTCTCCAGAAATGCCTTATTCTAAATACCGCTACGGTGTCAAATGTATCCTTTTGGCTTTAGTATCGATTTATTGGTGGGAAACTGACAGAAAAAGGTTTGGCGCTTGGAATAATTAATCGCAGAAGAAACAACAAATCAACAAAAGGTTCGGAAAGGGGCATAAAGTTTAGACAATATCAGATTGAGTCTCTTAAAAGAACAGGAAGTCATAGCATTCATTGTAATCGGATCGGAATTGGGACGGCTTGGAGACAGCGACGAGGGTTTTCTGAGAGTATCGCCGGGGAAATTGTGATTGGATGATCGTCGGGGCGATCGGGCAAGATCCAGAATACCATCCAGCATGCGCTTTTGAGACGGCAAAGCATTGACGGTGATTTTCAGAGATGTTCGTTTGCTTGTCCAGTCTTTTATCCACTTCAACCATCGAAGCATCCAGATCGCCGTACGTTTCATAGCCCCTGAAAATGATTATGGTTTAAGAAATTGATGCAGGGTCCTAATTCTGGGTTGTTAAAAAGAGGCTGACTCACAGTAGGACATCCTTGATAATTCGCTGGGGCTTTCCTCGAGGATTCATCAGCTCCGACCGATTGCCTTGCAGCTCATGGTAATTTACTAAATATTGGGATAGAAGAATATTGTGCGTGAAATCCACGGAGCTGCCCCATCGCCAAATAAAACAGAGTCCACTACCGCCCGCCCCGCACCTACCCATATATGTATTGTTATTGAAATCATGGGTATAGGTTCGACGGCTTATCAGGAATTGAAGACCATCTTCGCCATGGCGAGAGGAACAATTGGAATATTTGCTGTAGACGGATAGTGGTTGATTTGTGGAGACGATAGTCGCTTGGATGGCCCAGCTGAAATTGGGTGTCTTACTATGGGTCCCTCTCACTCTCTCTTTCTCTCTCTATCGATCTGTCTCTCTCACACACGCACAAACACTTACTGCGTTGTCATCGACGATATTTTTCGGGCGGCGTTTAGTACGGCCTTCTTCATAATTGCCGTCTGATCCGCGGCTCCCGACATCCTCGCAGCCAAATACTCGGCACGAAAAGCTTCTTGATGCACCACCGGCCAGGCGTTCTGAAAGGAAGAAAAGCTCTCTTGGACCTCATTCAAGGGAAATTCCCAGTGTCGTCCAGACGTCGGGAAGTATATAATAATCGAATCCGAGTTAACCCTCTCCCCATTGAACAACTACTGAAAATGGAAAGACAAACCTCGAATGTATGAGCCATGTTCCGCTGAAGAAGCATCATGGTCATCATTTGTAGCTCATACACTGGGGTCATTAATGCCTCCGGATCTTTGCCTGTGTGATTATGATAGAGGTGAGTGACCGCAGACTGAAATTTATGAATGGCGCCAACATTTACATGCTTCTTACCAACAGCCCCACATCGGGTCCCATTTTTTGGAGATGCGGCCAGATGTCCGTAGCGGCGAAGTTGTTGTCAAAAATAAGTTGTCTCCAGTAGCAGCTAAAATTTTAATTAGGTGGGCAGAATATCAGACTCTTACCGATAAACTGCTGTAGCATTTATTGGACCGTGGAAGTTCTCATCCTCCATTTTGTCGAATAACACCTCAAAAGAAGCCTCAGCGGAACCCATGTCGAGTTCAGGGATGTTCAACGACTTCACGTCGAACAACTCCGGGTTTGGCATCACGTCGTAAATGTCGCGAAACTCTAAAAATTATGATTATAACCCAAATCAATTGCTGGATTTATAGCCCTTAAAGGGACTCCGAAATCTGGTCCACGTCCCCCAGCGTTGATTCCTGGCAAACAGCCAGATGCACCCGTGCCCATGTTTGGATGTGAAAACGCTTGAATCTCCAAACTATGACGTCATTTCTGCAATCCTCACCGAATTTTGAGCATCATAGACTATTAATTATGAGTAGAGACGAGAGAATCACCTAATTCGGGAGATTGAGTGCCGTCCAAGGCATAAGGACTTATAATCGCTGCGCACTCAAAAAGGCTCTTTTCGCCCCCGGGAACATTTCGGTTTTACTCAGATATTTTAAGTATTTTTTTGCAATGAAATAACTTTTCTGGTACATCTCGGCGGTGACCCTTTAGTTTTTGATCAGTGTGTTCAATCTCCGCGCCCACGAATTTCGACTTCCGAGACTTCGATCCAATCCAGCATTATCCTACCTTGGAAAAAGGCGTCGACTTCGCCGTAGGGAAATGGCTTTCCAGTAGAATTTCGTCGATCCCATGCCAGAAAGGCGTCCAACACAAATCCTCGATGTTCAGCCCAGATCTTTGCTTCTTCCTTGGTGATGGGGTCGCGGCATCGATCCACGAACAGCTCTTCGTACGCCTGTCAAAAATTCATTTTAGGGGCTATAAGCGCCAAAAATGCAGCGCTGGAATTTTTTAATATCCTGTTTTTGCCAACAAATGAAGCAAAAACGATGTTGCGCAAAAATCAGACGTCCGCTCACCTCCAGGATGCCGGGAATCAGTCTGAAAAAATGGCGTTTAATTGGGAATTCTGGTTAAAATCCTTTGAATTAAAAACTTACTTGATGCCTTTTTCATAAAGACGTTCATCTCCTCCACTGAGATTCACGGTATGTGGCCAGTCGTCCAGCCCAAAGATCCGCTTTAGATCGTTCTCCCGAGCCTTGACTTTCTGAAAATGTATCATTTTCGTGGAAAGCCAGTGTTAAAGCTTGATGCAAGCCCTAATAAATGAACAACAAATTAATTATGGACCAGTAGTGCTGACACGCACGTCGTAATCAGCAGATAAGACTTGGCGCAGATCATGGTCGCGCGGTCTGGAAATTGAGCCGGCGGCCGCGGCGAGTTGGAGCAGACATATCGACCAAGTCAGAAGCGCTGGTATTCCGGAAGGATACCGCATCCTAAAATATTTTGGGTTTGAAGGGAGGAGAGATAGAGAGAGAGGGAGAGAGAGAGAGAGAGCAAGAGAGGGTGAGAGAACCGGCGTTTTGCTCCGGGCTAGAAAGAAAGATATACTTTATTCAGCTAATATTACAGGATATGAGGCTAAGGCCAAATAAAAACAGGATGGTAGGAGGAGATGGATACTGAGTGTTGCGAGTTCTTCTGGCCATGATGACCTACATGCACCTGCTGCAGATGCAGCGGGATACCGAATGATTGTCAGTTTTTGAATACCTCGCAACATCAAGCATACTACCTCAAATCCGCCAAGCCACTCTATGCATTAAAGGTATAACGACGGCATATGTAATCGGTGACGTGGGGGAAAGCAAATGTCTCTGTGTCTCGCCTCTGGGCGCGTTCTCTGCCCTGATGGCTACTTGCTAAAAAGTGGATCGGGGTCATCGAGCTATGCCGTCGGTATCCCTTTAATGTAACCCCTCCAAAAGGTCGATGCTACAAAAAAACCCTCTCGCGAAGCAAAACCATTGGCGTGGGGGGCGGGGGGGGGGGGGGGGGGGGGGGGGCCCCCCCCCCGCGCCGGGCCCGGGGGGGGGGGGGGCTTTTCTTGGGTCCCCCCATTTTTTTTTTTTTCCCATATTTTTTTTTGCTGTTTTTTTTTTTATTTTTTTTTATATTTTATATTTTTTTTTCCCATTATTTTTTTTTGCCTCCGCCTCCGTCGTTATTTTATTATTATGGTGGATTTTTTGGGGGCCCCCCTATTTTTTGGTTTTTTTACGGCCCTGTTTGGCGTGCGTGGCGCGAAAAACGGCACAAAAATGTCTAAAGGGCGCACGAAACAACGACAAAATGGGCCGTCCCGGGGTTTGACACATACCTTCCGTCGAAAGGGCCTACTTTGAGCGGATCTGCACCGTGTTTTCTTTCTCAAACTCGCCCGAAACGTCTCAGGCGGATACCACGTCGTGATCAGCTTTTCCCGCCAAAACGCGCACTAATTTTTCTTATTTTCGTGTCTTATAGTTGTGCCAAATGTATTTCACGGATTTCACAAAGATCCAATTATTTATTCAACGCAATAAGATATAAAAAGGGTGTCGTGAGTTTTGGATATAAGTTTAGAAGGTTACGAAGGCGGAATTCACGGAAATAATAAAATGGCGAGGGCGGAAACAAGAGAGATCTGATCGCAAATTAAAAGAATACAAGGCCATAGCATTCATTGTACTCGGACCGGAATTCGGATGGTTTGTAGCGAACAACGCGAACTTTCCTAGGGTGGCGCTGCCCAAATTGTGACTGGATAATAGTAGGGGCCCATGGGCAAGATCCCGAATACCATCCAGCATGCGCTTTTGAGACGGCGAAGCATTGGTGATGGTTTTCGGAGATGTTCGTTTGTTTATTCAATCTGCTATGAATTTCCTCCATTGAGGCTTCCATATCACCGCTCGTTTCATAGCCTCTGAAAATAATTTTTATTCTATAAATTTTGATAAGTTTGGAGCGTTCCGGATCAGGTTCTCAAAACTTTGCTGTCCTAACAATGAAATGGTCTCAGCTCGTCATTCTTATTTTGATTTGAGATTCTGCGTATCATTAGATCTCGACGGGACTCTGATGTATCTTCAGCCGCTGTTACCGTAATCCCACCGGTTCCGGGGTGGCGGTACCAGCAGTAGGCACAGGCATGACCAACAATTTGTCTAGTCGAGCTCTCTGGGTATGCAAAATCTCAAGCCGGAATTGGATGACGAGCGGACAAGGCGTCTTTCACGTTATGCACATTTTAGTGCTAATCGAGTTCTTTATGGAAACAACCCTAAATTGTGCCGGACTTTGCGCTGTATCGGCAACCGTTTTCAAAAGCTGCGAAACGACCAGATTCGAGAAGTTATGCAGCTTTTTAGGGCAAAACGGGGTCATTTTGGGCATTTTAGCACTTAAAACCTTCATAACTTTTTGAATCCTGTCATTTAGCAGATTTTGAAAACTGATCTGTTCTGATCAGCCCAAAATTTTGCACAAGCTAAGCATAGTGCCATACGGAAGCCCAACTGTCTTCTTGTAGGACCGCTTCCTTATCAGGATAGCTCGGTTATATGAAACTGATCTTTAAAAAGAAGGGGTGATGAAAAACGGTGTTTATAAAGGTTTCACTCCATCTGCCGATCTCGCAAAAATCTGTAAAATCTGGCCCACCCAAAAACATCCCGCACGATTTTCTGAGCTTCCCCGTCCGGATGCGTCAACGCCAGACGGTTTCCGCGAATATCATCGATGTCTAAGGGGATTTCACATGGATATAATTTTGCATTGAATGCACCAATGGTCGCATTGTCGAAAAATTTATATTGTCGTTGACTGATCAGGAACTGGAGGCCATCTTCGCCATGGCGGGAGGAGCATTCTTGTGATTTGTTGTAGACGTATACCGGGTGATTTGAGGCAATGATCGTGGCTTGGAGGAGCTGGCTAAAATCGGAATTTTGTTTCCTTCGCTAAAACACCTACGGCCCTGAGGCACTCATCGATCGAATTTTTGTTGTCGTTTTGCTAACGACATCCTTCAGAATTGCCGACTGATCCGTGTTACCCGAAAGTTTTGCAATCAGGTATTCAGCTCGAAAGATTTCTTGATGTAGAAATGGCCACGCGTTCTGAAATGGGTTGTAGCAAAATGGTATCGGTGCTTTTCCAGCAGGAAGTCAAACTTAGTTTTCTTAGTCTATTCTGGTGCGTTTTTCGGAGTTTTTCGCCGACCCAGCCCCGGCTCCTCAATGTCATGCATCAAATACCTCAAAATGTTCATCATGATCGAAACTCTATGACCAAATTGTTTTCGTTACTTCAAAAATTTGCGGGAAATTGTTTACAGCTTTAAGGTTGAAAAGACGAAGTCGTTATCTTTCCGTTTGCCCGGCCCTTTCAACTCAAATATTTGACGCCTCCGCAATTTTTTTGACTCAAGCGTATCGTCGTCTTACTCTACAGCTCAAGACCTACATTTTGGTACCCTTTTCAGCTCTATAAGTCCAAGGACGGCCGAGATAAGAAACCCACTTTGCACCAGTAAAAAATTAACTAAATAAACCTATAACTGCCTATCCTATATCCTATAACTCTATATAGATCCTATAACTGTTTATATAGATCCTATAACTGTTAAAAAATTACTAAACTGTTACTGTTAAAACACTATATAGATCCTATCTAGATATATATAAAAAAAATAGTGTCTGTGTGTGTGTGTGTGCCACTTTGCATTCACTTCCGTCTGTCTGTCGGAGGATATCCAAGAAGGGACGGTATTAGACTACGTATGATACGTCATTAGGTGCGTAATGGTCTAGGGATCACTGCACACATATAAGATTTTTAAAAATTAGCCATTTTCGCTATTAAATTTAGGTTTTTGTAAAAACTTCTTTGTTAGAAACAATTAGCATAGACCGGAAGTGGGCAGTCGTCTATATAAAGAAGCAGAAGGGGTTGTTTTTCATTATTTTTGTCTTCTGTGAGGGCAATTTGCAAGGGCGGATATTGGGGTCGAGACGGGCCGGGGTTGAAAAGTCGCGAAGCGGCTTTTCAACCCTGGTAACTGTTAAAAAATTTCTTCCAATTTTTCACGTAGGCAAAACAATTGGCAATGGAGTTTAACCATGACAGACATCTTAAGTTGCTCCCCGCATTAATAGGACTTATGGCTCACGTGTTGGGATTGATAGAACTAGACACTAGCCGAAGACTTTTATCTTAAAATAGCCCGTCCCAAAAACAGGTGCAAAACAAACCGCTAATGATCGATCCGACAAATAGCTCAAATGTTCGAAGATCGCCCACAGGTCACTAGGAACTTCATCGAGCCAGTCTCCCCGCTCGATCCCGGTATGATTCTTATAGATGAATGTGGCGCGCTGCTGGAACTCACGAATGCATTTTGTATCACCACATCGTTCCCCTACCAGCGCGTACTGGTCTATGAGGAGCTTGTTGAGTTCCGGCCAGGTTCCCGATCTGCAGAAATTGCTGTCCAAGATGTGTTGTGTCCAGTAGCAGCTAAAGATGTGGGTCACACGTGGTCACTATTGTGAACAGACGAAATCCCAAAAGAAAAGGTAGCAGTCGCGATAAGTCACTTTTAATCCGCTCACTACACTAGTTACCCGTTGAACGCTGTTTCGTCTAGTGGTCCGTGCTGCGTTTCGATTTGCTCGAATAATCCTTCGAATGAGGCATTAGCGGATCCCTTGTTGAGCTCGGTGATGTTTAACGATTTCACGTCAAACAGTTCCGGAGTTAGCATGGATTCGTAGATGTCGCGAAACTCTATAGCTCTCGGAATTCTGTCGAAAAATTAAGGCCAATCATTGGTGTCTCTAGTGTGTCTATTCAAACTTACGTCTAAAGAATGCGTCGACCTCTTCGTATGGAAACGGTTTTCCGGTTAAGTTTCCTCGTTCCCATTCCAGATAAGCATCCAGCACAAATGCTCTTTGCGATACCCAAATCTTTGCTTCTTCTTGAGGGATTGGATCTGGGCATCGATTCACATAAAATTCTTGGTGGATCTAAGCAAAAATCAGACGCTAAAGCTTCCAAATAACGTGGCTTACCCTCACGATGTCCGGGATGAGGCTGAAAATTCGATTTTAAATAGGGAATCCAAGAGCTTATAATTAGATTGGCCATGGTCAACTTAATTTGGGCAAAGAAACTGACTTGACGCCCTTCTCGTAAAGTCGTTCATCTCCACCGACTTGTACCCAGCCGTAGCCGCTGCCCTGGAGCCCAAAGATTTTCCTCACATCTCTGATTCGTGCCCTTGCCCTCTAAACGTTGACAAGTTACATTTCAAGGGCTAGTTCAACTTTTAGAGCTTGGGCTGGTACCTTGGGAAACTATGGACGTAGGCACAGTGCGCCCGAACAGCCCCCCATTACGACAGCTATTAGAGATCAGGGAAATGAGAGAGGCGCAGACACAAAAACGCAGAGAGGGTTCGACTCCTGGCCGCGGAAATTCTTTGTTTTATTGGCTGAACTAGCCCTTTAATGGTGTTAATGGGCTCTGTTTGAGCAAGGAAACCCACCTCAACATCTGCCGGTAACTTGTGGCGGAACCCGAACCTGTGCACGGTAATGGAGCTGCCGACTGCCAGCAGGCAAATCCATATTGGAAGTGCTGATATTCCGGTGGAATACCGCATCCTGAATTTTTAACGTTTTTGATAAATCCGAAAATGCACTCAAATAAGGCATATACTCATAGAAAATGAAGCGACTCCGGATAAAATATCACAAAAATTTTGAAAATCGGAATATTTCCACCTTTTTTGGTCATTTTTCCTGCATACAGTTTTTTAACCTGAAAACTATTTAAAATGCAATAAAAATGGTTTGTATTTTGTTAAAGGGCCGTAGAGGATCACAGGACCCCCCGGCTAACAGTCCAGAAACGCGATTGAAAGAAAAGGCGAAAAATACTGCGCCTCCCAAAACCCATCCGCCTTTCCGTTCGCAGTCGTGCTCCGCTCGTGTTGGTGCAGTTATGGGTGCTTTTTTGTAGGGTTATTAGAATTGTTAAACCGTAGTCGAGGATTTGATGACATTAAAGAAATGAGCAATCCAAAAATTGTGGAAGCTTTGGAACGATGCTGATTGTCATACGTCCTTTCTGGCTAGGATGACCTGTCAGAGTCTACGGCAGATGTCCGAGTTATCGATTGACCTCGCAAAAATGTCGAGCATGATATTTTGAATCGACAGGACCGGCAGCTCCGAATTGTCCCGTGCTGCTGATGATCAATTTCCTTGACCATAAAAATGAATGAAGGCGCTAAATTATTGTTTTTCTGTCCCTAGAGTCTTACAAAAACCATTATTTATCATAAAAAAATTATATACAAAGGGAAATCGACGAGGTCGAGGCCTAAGAAACGAAGCAACAGATAGACATTTAAAAGAACATAAAGTTATAGCATTCATTGTAATCGGATCGGAATTGGGACGGCTTGGAGACAGCGACGAGGGTTTTTTGAAAGTGTCGTCGAGGAAATTGTGATTGGATGATAGTAGGGGCTAATGGGCAAGATCCAGAATACCATCCAGCATGTGCTTTTGAGACGGCAAAGCACTGACGATGGTTTTCAGAGATGTTTGTCTGTTTGTTCAGTCTGTTATCCACTTCAACCATCGAAGCATCCAGATCGCCGTACATTTCATAGCCCCTGAAAATTTATAGTTTAAGAAGATGATAAGAAGAGGATGCCAGAAAGCGCTGCCGGAAATTCCGAATCCCGTTGCAAATTTCAGACTCACAGCAAGACATCCTTGATAATTCGTTGGGGTTTTCCTCGTGGATTCGTCAGCTCCGACCGATTGCCCAGCAGCTCATGGTAATTTGCTAAATAATTGGGATAGAAGAATAATGTGCGTGAAATTCACGGAGTTATTCCGTCGCCAAATAAAAGAGGGTCCACTACTGCCCCGCACCTACCCCTATCTGCCCCGTTCTTGGCATGGTACTCATAGGTATATGTTCGACGGCTGATTAGGAATTGGAGGCCATCTTCGCCATGGCGGGAGGCACAGTTGGAATATTTGCTGTAGACGGATAGTGGTTGATTTGTGGAGACGATAGTAGCCTGGATGGCCCAGCTGAAATTGGATGTCTTTCTCAGGGATTATCTCACTCTCCCTATCTTTCACTCTCTCTCTTGCTTTATCTCTCTCGCTCTCTCTCTCTCTCTCTCTCGCTCTCACTCTCACTCTCTCTCGCTCTCGCTCTCTCTCTCGCTCTCACTCTCACTCTCTCTCGCTCACAAAACACGTACTGCAGGACCATGGCAGACATTTTTCTGGCGGCATTCTGTACGGCCTTCTTCATAACTGTCGTCTGGTCCGTTCCCCCCGAAATTCTTGCAGCCAAATACTCGGCACGAAAAGTTTCTAGGTGCACCACCGGCCAGGCGTTCTGAAATGGTTGCATTTATTGTCTGCTTTTCAAGGTTGACATCAACGAGTAAAGGCGCTAGCACATTTTTTAAGGGGGGTGTGTGTCTGTGCCACTTTTCATACAATTTCCGTCAGCGTGTTCCAACAGTATCTCACTGCGGGGACCGTTACGTGTATGTATAATACGTCATTAGATGCGTAATGGTCTGAAGAAGACGGCACGCATATGAAATTTATCAAAATGGAATATTTTCGACATTAAGTTTAGGTTTGTTTAAAAATCGGAGACCCGCTTTGTTAGGAATATATTAGCGTATGATGGCGGGAGCGTTGGCCTATCTAATGGGGGAGAAGCAGCACTTTTTGTTTTTCTGCACTTTCGGGTGTTTATGCAAAATGAGAATAGCATGGCGTTAAAGGGCTAGTTCAACTTTTAGAGCTTGGGCTGGTACCTTGGGAAACTATGGACGTAGGCACAGTGCGCCCGAACAGTCCCCCATTACGACAGCTATTAGAGATCGGGGAAATGAGAGAGGCGCAGACAAAAAACGCAGAGAGGGTTCGACCCCCGGCCGCGGAAATTCTTTTGTTTTATTGGCTGAACTAGCCCTTTAAGTCGGGGCCAGGGCTGAAAAGTCACGAAGCGGCTTTTCATCCTTGTTTTTTAATAACTTCGGTTCCAAGATTTGGAAAATCTTCCCCCTGTCAATGATGCACTACCGAAAATGGAAGAACAAACCTCCAATGAATGGTCAATGTACTGTTGTTGATTCGACCTAGTCGACCATTGAAGCTCAGCTACTTCCCCCCATAATTCGTGCAGATCATCGGTGGTGTGATTATGAGAGACGAATGAGATGATTGACTGAAATTGATGACTCACATCGGCATTGCCGTCCTCCTTACCAGCGCCATCCACTCGGGCCCCATTTTTTGGACCTGCGGCCAGATGGCCGTAATGTCGAATTTGTTGTCAAAAATCAGTTGCCTCCAGTAGCAGCTAAAATTTGGGTGAGATGGGGTGCCGGTTATTCTACCGAGAAGTCGCTTTATAGAAGGTCACTTTACCGAATGGAGTTTTACCGAAAGGTCATTCTACCGAAAAGCCGTTTTACCGAAAATTGGATAATTGAACAGAAATGTGACTGTAGATTTCCGGTCATTATTCTGAATAAACGATTTTGGCACGGCACGCGAGGAAGGAAATTTTGTCGGGAGAATTTTTGGCAAAACGACCTTTCGGTAAAATGACTGTTCGGTAAAATGACTGTTCGGTTGAACGACTGTTCGCTGGAACGAATTTCGGTAAAGTGACCGGGAATCGGGTTAGATGGGCAGAATATTTTCTACAGACACCCAAACCAAACCAACTCAAACCCCTACCGATGGACTTCTGCAGCATTTATCGGACCGTCAAAGTTCTCATCCTCCATTTTGTCGAATAATGCCTCAAAAGAAGCCTCAGCGGACCCCATGTCGAGTTCGGTGATGTTCAACGACTTCACATGGAACAACTCTGGGTTTGGCATCACGTCGTAGATGTCGCGAAACTCTAGAACATAACAACTAAATTTAGGCGACAGATGGCTAATTGTAAGCAGCGCCGTACCCGTCGCTTTACAGGATCACTAGCTAGCAAGCCCAGGATCGTGCGGGAGGTACTTACGTTGGAAAAACGCGTCGACTTTGTCGGAGGGAAATGGTTTTCCGGTCGAATCGCCTCGACTCCATGCCACATAAGCATCCAGCACGAATGCCCTATGTTTCGCCCAGATCCTCGCTTCTTCCCTGGTGATGGGGTTGGGGCATCGATCAACGTATAGATCTTCGTATGCCTAAGGAAAACACATTCTTTAACGGCGACTAAAAACGTCCAAAATTCAGTGAGGCGCGAAAAAGAGAAGTTGGGCTTTGTGCAAAAAAAACCGCCGAAAACGGGGAAATTTCAAATTTAGCGCGGGTGACCTTAAAAACACGGTTTCGGCTGCTTTTGCGGAAAATTTCGATTGTAAAACCTTCATTGTATGCAGGGACGTAGCGTGATACAGCCCGGGGCCGGCCCCGAAATCGGCCGGGGCCCGAAAATTTCATAAGGGGGCCCTTATGATATTTTCTCAAAATTCGCCTGCGGCCCGTTCGGCTATTTGTAGGCTATGCACCTTTTCAAAATTTTGCCTGTGGCGCTTTTTTCGGCAATGTTTTGAGATTTTTGGAAAATTTTGGGGTCCCCCGAAATTTTTTCTGGCTCGCCCTGTTGTTGACATTTAGCGAGGAATTAAAAATCCAGAATTTCAAAATTTTGATGTTTCCCCGAAGAAGTTGTGAAAAAACTGTTTGATTCCGGATTTAAATTGCCCAGAAATATAGCCGCCGATTTTTGGAACTTCTAAACCCCTTTAACCTCCGCCTCGGCCGCTCACCTCCAGGATGCCGGGAATCAGTCTGAAAAAAGGTGTTTGATGTGAAATTTTGCAGCTCTTCTATTAACCAAAAAAATTTACTTGATGCCTTTATCGTAGAGATGTTTGTCTCCAGACAAATTCTTGAGGTATGGCCACTCTTCCAACCCGAAGATCCTCTTCAAATCGTTGACCCGAGCCTTGACTTTCTGAACATTGAACATTTACTGGTTTCAGTTAAAAGTCTGTGGGAGCTTAATTGTATCTGCTTACGTCGTAATCAGCAGATAGGACTTGTCGTAGATCATGGTCGCGCGGCCTGGAAATTGAGCCGGCGGCCGCGACGAGTTGGAGCACACATATCGACCAAGTCAGTAGCGCTGGTATTCCGGAAGGATACCGCATCTTAAAATACTTGGATTAAAGGGATGAGAGAGAGAGAGAAGGAGATAGAGAGAGAGAGTGAGAGGTAGAGAGATACGACGTGTTACTCCGGACTAATAAAAAAAAGATAGGCCCGAGTTGACTAATATTACAGGATATAAGGCTAAGGCTAGACCAAAACAGGAGGAAAGGATGAGAATGATACGGATTTTGCGACCTCTTCTGGCGATGATGCGACATCCATCTGCTGCAGATGTGCCGGATATCGAATGATTGCCAGGTTTTTGAATACCTGGCAACATTGAGCATAATGCCTCGAAACCGCAAAGCGACTGTATGCATTAATGATGTTACCCACCAAAGAGTGGTTGATACAAAAAATACCCCGCAAAGCAAAACATTAGGCGTGTCGGTTCACTGTTTTCTGTATACTGTAAGGTATTTATTCAACGAAATAAGTTATGTTAAGGGTTCATGAGCTTCGGGTCAAAGTTTATGGAAAGAGCAGCAATAAAACAACAGAGATCTGATCACAAACTAAAATAATATAAGAGTGTAGCATTCATTGTACTCGGATCGAAATTCGGTAGGCTTGTAGTCAGTCGCACGGACTTTCCCATAGTGTCGCTGTGGAATTTGCGACTGGATGATAGTCGAAGCTAAGGGGCAGTATGAAGAATACCACCCAGCATGCACTTTTGAAACAGCGAAGCATCGATGATGTTTGTCGGATATGTTCGTTTGGTTGTAAAGTCTGTTGTCCAGCTCCACCATTGACGCTTCCAGATCGCCACTCGTTTCATAGCCTCTAAAAATAATTATGTTTGGAGAAATTCGGATGGAAAGAGCCGAGAGAGAGAGAGAGAGAGAGAGAGAGAGAGAGAGAGAGAGAGATAGATGGTTTGACACCGCGGAGTTAAAAAAGTGGCTCACCCAAAAACATCACGCACGATCTTTTGCAACGTCCGTTTCGAATGCGGCAGCTCCAGTCGATTTGCTTCAAGATCAGCATATTCTGAAAATTTTCATACAGGATTATGTTGTATTTTGCGCACCAATCCCAGAACGCCAATGCGACCAAGAAGATCTTCGGCGGCTGATCAGGAATTGAAGCCCATCCTCTCCTGGGCGGGAAGAGCAGTTGGAAGATTTGTTAAAGACGGAGAGTGGTTGAGTTGTGGAGATGATCGTAGCTTGGAAGGACCAGCTGAAATTGGAATTTTGGGGCACGGGCTGTAACACCTACGACCCCCACTCATCGACCGGATTTTGTTGGCCGTGTTGCCAACGGCCTCCTTCAGAATTGTCGTCTGAGCGGTGTTACCCGAGATCTTTGCGATCAGATATTCAGCGCGAAAAACTTCTTGATGTAGAAATGGCCACGTGTTCTGAAATCGGCGGCAGTAACGCGTTATTGATATGATGTCGTAACAGCCTGGAGGCGAAGCGCCAAAATTTTCGATGCCCTGGGTCGACATCGAAGCGCGTTTTTTAGTTTACTATCACTGTTAAACCAAGCTACGTCAAAGGTAAAATAGCTAGACCGAGTGAAAGCGTTGCTAACAATAATCTAGGTTACCCCATCCGTAACGTTAAAATAAGTAACATACAACTGACGCCTAAGCTAACCTATGCGGGTCCTAATAAGTCTGTAGGGGACCCTAAGGCTAGCATAACGTTAAAAGCACCGCGCGTAGCGGCCTGTCGCGGCGCAAGTGTCGGGGAGCCTTTTAAACTTCACGAGCCAACTATCGTAAATTGTATCGTAAAGCTAAAATCATAAATTCCGCTAGAGCTCTTTTGACAATCCTCTTAAATAACACAAATCCGTTTCTTCTAAACCAGCCCGTCCCCAAAAAATGTGCGAAACAAACCGCCAATGATCGCCGCCCGAGCTCAGATATTTTATCGAAAATCTGGTAGAATGCATCGACCTCCCCGATCCCAGTTTTATTCAGATAGATGTTCATCGCGCGCTCCTGAAATCTCGATATAGCATAACACGTCGCAAGTTCCCTACCAAAACCATGAGATCATATTGGATCTTGTCGATGGCCGACCAGGCCACATCCATGCGGAAATTGCTGTCCAGGATGTGTTGTGTCCAGTAGCACCTAAATACGCATTATAGCCACCTCGCCTAAAAGCCCTTTCGCATAAATTCTTGCTCGTCTTCAGAACTGCGTTTTGCGGAAAACCAAGCATTTTCCGAAACGTTATAATTGCATTGTTATTTTTAAGCATGATTCTTGAAATTTTTCCTTTTAAACTTCGATACGCCATTTTGGTAAAAGGAACTTAGAGAATTATGGTAAAAACTAATAAACAGCTATATCGTCTCGAAATCGCTAACGTTTTGACCAAAAATGCAACTCTGAAGACGCGCACAAATCTAGGCGAACTGGCTTTGGGCGAGGTGACTTTTACGCGACACGGATTTTAGGAGAAACGGCTTGAGGTGAAATGGCTTTTAGGCAAAAAGGATCTTAGTCGACGGTTGAGGCGAAACGGGTTTAAACGAAAAGTCAAACGCCAAATCGTTACCCGTTCAAGGATGTATCATTTAATGGACCGTGCTGCGTTTCCATTTGCTCGAATAATCCTTCAAACGAGGCGTTTGCAGATCCCTTCTTCAGCTTGGTGATGTTCAACGACTTCACGTCAAACAGTTCTGGACTTTGCATGGATTCGTAGATGTTGCGAAATCCTATAACATTGGAAATCGGAACAGGGTTGGAAAAACTTGGCGATCTTTAAAGGGCTAGTTCAACTTTTAGAGCTTGGGCTGGTACCGTGGGACACTATGGACGTAGCTATACCGCGCATGAACAGTCCCCCATTACGGCACCTATTAGAGATCGGGGAAATGAGAGAGGCGCAGACACAAAAACGCAGTGAGGGTTCGACTCCTGGCCGCGGAAATCCTTTTGTTTTAGTGGCTGAACTGGCCCTTTAAAAACCAGAATGTCAACTCACGTCTCAAAAATCCGTCGACCTCTTCGTAGGGAAATGGTTTTCCGGTTAAGTTTCCTCGTTCCCATTCCAGGTAAGCATCCAGCACAAATGCGCTATGTGATACCCAAATCTTTGCCTGTTCCTGGGTGATCGGATCGGGGCAACGATCCACCCAGAATTCCTGGTATGTCTATGAGAAAATTAATGCTTGAGGCACAGCCACCGTCGCTTACCCTCAAGATGTTGGGGATGAGTCTGAAAATTCAGTCTTAATGGGGGGGGGGGATTCACAAAACTTTTAAACTAGATTTTTATGGCAGAATCTTTGGTATACTATAATGAAGACAACCGTTTTCGGTCCAAAAACTGACTTGACGCCTTTTTGGTAAAGTCGTTCATCTCCATCAACGGCACTGATAGTCCATGGGAATTCCACCAGCCCGAAGATTCTCCTCACCTCCATGATCTGCGCCTTGGCCTTCTAAAAATTACTTCAGTCGCCATTCTCCTGGTTAATCTTCATTGAGGGCTTGGCGCTAATGACTGGACGCTACCTCAACATCGGCCGGCAGTTTGTGGCGGAACCCATCTAGTCGGGTGCTGCCGAGTGCCAGCAGGCAGAACCATATTAGAAGTGCCGCTATTCGGGCGCAATACCGCATCCTGAATTTTGCGGTTTTTAAAGATCTGATTTTCAAAAACTTCGAAGATTGAAAGACTTGCCGGGGGATGCTACCGGGTATCAGAAAAAATGTTCCATTCGGCAATCGACCGCCTCGGTTCCAAAATTGAACCAGAGGTGCTACATTAGTGCCGGAATTATAACAAAAATGCTGTTTTTTTAGAAATTCTCAACAGCTTTTTCAGCTTTGTTTTTAAACTTTGCACCGACTTGGATCGACTTCTAGCTGTAAATCCCTAATTTAGCTTAAGACGGTATCTTGCGTTGTAAAAATCGTTTCAATCGACACTTGCTTAATTATTTTTAGTCCGGAAAGAAATTCTTGAGGCTAAAAAGCTTGTCGGTCTGTGTATGTTACACGGGGGGGGAAAAACTCGGGGGCCAACAATTTTTTTTATTTTTATTTAAAAAAAACAAAACCCTCGAATATTTCCCCTCAAAAAGGAGATTTTCATAAATTATTTTTATTTTTTTTTTTTTAAAAAAAAAAAAATTTTTAATATTTTTTTATAAAAAAAAAAAAAAAAAAATATCCAAAATGTCAAAAACTTGATTTCATTCTGTGTCCTCATGGAAATGACGTTTAATACTTGGTTTTGTCCTAACTATTTTACACTCAATTACAGCCAAGTTCCTATGAGTAAAATGTTCAAAAATCGCTTATGGAAAAATTGCGAAAGGTTCGAAGCGATGCGGGTTGCCATGCACCCTTTTTGGCCAGGATGACCCTTTCGGCATCTTCGGCAGATGTCCCAGGTATCGATTGACCTCGCAAAAATGTCGATCATGATATTTTGAATCGACTGGAGTTGCAAGTTCCGAAAACTACCCTTGGTACAGAAAAGCAGTATTCGTCACCATGGAAATGAATTAACTTGTTAAATATTTCTTTTATAACCTTCATTTATAGGGTGCGGCGGCATTTTTTCGGCGCCGCCTCCACCCCCCCTTTTCGTTACAAAAAAAAAAATCGGAAAATTACATCAAAAAAATAAAGTTTCAAAATGATCAAAACCTGAAATTTGATTTGAAAAATTTTTAATTTGAATTTTTAGCGAAAATAATTTTATACCCCCCCACACCCAATTTCCGCCAAGCCCCGCCCTCCGTAAAAGGAAAATAAAATTTTCTTTTTTTTTTTATAAGGAGTACCTTGTTTTTTCATCTTTTTTTAAAAGTTTTTATTTTTTAAATTTTATAAAATTATAATTTTTTTATTTTTTTTTTAAAAAATTAAAGGGAAAAAAAAATAGTTTGAAAAAAAAATAATAATTTTGGGTTTTTTTTATTTTTGTTATTTTTTTTTGTGGGTTTAAAAAAAAAAATTTTAATTTAATTTTAAATTTTATTTTTATTTTTTGTTTTATTTTTTTATAATTTTTTTTTTTCCCAACTTTTTTTTAAAAAATTTTTTAAAATTTTTTTAAATTTTTGGAAAATTTTTTTTAAAAATTTTTTTTTAAAAACCGGAAACAAAAAATGGAAAAAAAAAAAAAAAAATAAAAAAAAAAAAAAAAAAAAAAAAAAAAAAAATTTAAAAAAGGAACAATTTTTCTCCCATAACTCTAAATTGCCCTTTGGCGGGGGGGAGGGCGTTTGCGGCCCCCTGGGTAAGCCCCCCCTTAAAAAAAAAGCCCTAAAAAAAGTTGGAAATTTTTTTGTTGGAGGTTTTTTAGAAAAATTTTTAAAATTTATTAAAATTTTAAAAAAAAATTTTTTTTTTTTCACTTTCCTAGAAAAATAAAAAAACGTATTAAAAGCTTTTTTTGGGGGGTTTTTGGGAATTTTTGAAAATATGTAAAAAAAAAAAAAAAAAAAAAAAAAAAAATATAATCATAGAAAAAAAAAAAAAAAAAAAAAAAAAATTTTTTGGTATAAATTATCTGTAAATTTTCCTCGAAAAAACCGGGAAAAAAAACTCGAAAAAAATTTTTCCCCACCCTGTATCATAAAAAACTGCATATTAACGGAAATTTACAACATTAGGGCCTGAGAAACGAGTCAGCAACAGATAACCGATTAAAAGAACATAAAGTAATAACAATCATTATAATCCGATCGGAATTGGGACGGCTTGTACACATCAACCAGGGGTTTCATCCAAAATCGGCGAGGAAATTGTGATTGGATGATAGTGGGCGGTAGTGGGCAAGATCCAGAATACCATCCAGCATGCGCTTTTGAAACGGCGAAGCACTGACGGTGATTTTCAGAGATGTTCGTCTGTGTGTTCAGTCTGTTATCCACTTCGACCATCGAAGCATCGAGATCGCCGTACGTTTCAAAGCCTCTGAAAGTAATTTTGGTTCAGGAAATGGATGCAGGGCCATAACTCTGGGTTGCTAAGGAAAGGTTGACTCACAGTAAGACATCCTTGATAATTCGCTGAGCTTTTCCTGCCGGATTCGTCAGCTCCAACCGGTTTTCATGCAGGTCAAGGAAATCTAGAAACAGTCATAGAAAAATTCTTGAATTGCCGGTACCAATTGTTCGGTAAGGGTCGGCGTAGTTAGAGCTTCGGAGACTGAGCAAAAAGATGAGCCCATCGCCGCCAGGGCGGGAAAAACAGTCGGTGGACTTATGGTAGATGGCTAGGTGATTTGTGACAACAATCGTGGCTTGGAACGCGTAGCTGAAATTCAGGTTCTCTCTCTCTCTCTCTCTCTCTCTCTCTCTCTTCTCTCTCTCTCTCCTTTTCTTTTTCTACCTCACGTACTTACATTCCTAAAGCCATGGTCGCCAGTTTTGTGGCGGTCTTCTGTACCGTGTTTTTCAGAATTTTCGACTGATCTTTGTTTCCGGCCCGTTTCGCGATCAGGTATTCAGCACGGAACATTTCCTGATGTACCCAAGGCCAAGCGTTCTGGAATGGAATAGCAACGGTATATTTTCAAGACAAAAAAAGACAACACTAAAACATACAGGGGTCCCATAAAAAAGCACCCCTCCCGCATTTCGCCATTTTACACCCGATCGGTCCCAAAATTGGCCCAGGGGTGTATTAGTCCCTAAATAGCCACAATCCTGAGTTGTAGCCCGCCAGCTACAGTAATTTCGAGATACAGCAAAAATAGACTTTAATATCCGTTTTTCATAAGGTTTTCGTCGGAATCGACCCTTCGAACCTTAAGTGAAAAAAGCGGCAAGCCTTCTTTACCCCCTAAAATTTTTTTCTGATAAAAATTAATTAAATAACCGTTGATTTCAACAATTTTTGTAACTCAAAGTCACCCCCGACATTAGGCGAAATTAGGGAATCGCAGCCGGAAGTCGGTGCAAATCGATGCAAAGTCCAAAAAGATAGCCGAAAAAACTGTTAAGAATCGCGTAATAAATAGTATTTTGGCGATTACTCGAAAATTACTGTAGCGATCGGGCTATAACTCAGGATTCGGTTATTTATGGTCTGATACACCCTTGTGCAAAGTATGGGACCGATCGGATGTAAGACGGCGAAATGCCATAGGGGATGCTTTTTTTGGGACACCCTGTACATACATAAAATCAGCATAAAAATCACCCCCCCCGGGGCCCCCCCCCCCAAGGGGGGGGCCCCCAGAACCCCCCCCGGCCCCCCCCCCCCCCTCCCCCACCCCCCCCCCCCCCCAGGCAAAAAAAAAAAAAAAAAAACAAATTAAACGGGCCCCCCCTATCCCATACCCCCAAATATAAAACCCCCCCCACACCAACGGCCCTCCGGGGCCGAGGCCCCCCCCCCCAAAAACCCCCCCCCAAAAAAAACCCAAACCCCAACCACCACAAAAACCCCCCCCCCCAAAAACCCCCCCCCCCCCAAAAACAAACAACCCCCCCCCCCCCGCCCCGCCCCCGGCCCCCCCCCCCCCCCCCCCCCCCCCCCCCCCCCCCCCCCCCCCCCCCCCCCCCCCCCCCCCCCCCCCCCCCCCCCCCCCAAATACCCCAAGCCCCCCCCAAAAACCCCCAAAAAGGGAAAAAACCCGGGGGGGGGGGGGGGGGGCCGGGCCCGGGGGGGGGGGGGCCGGGGGGGGGCCCCCCCCCGCCCCCCCCCCCCCCCCCCCCCCCCCCCGGCGGGGGGGGGGGGGGGGCCCGGGGGCGGCCCCCCCCCCCCCGGGGCCCCCCCCCCCACGGGGGCCCCCCCCCCCCCCCCCCCCCCCCCCCGGCCCCCGGCCCCCCCCGGGGGGGGGGGGGGGCGCCCCGGGCCCAGGGGGGCTTAAAGCCAAAAAAGGGGTCCGAAGCCGGAAGCCATTACCGTTGGATTTCGAAAATTGTGTTTTGCCTTTCGAGATAGTATACGGGAGCCAAAAACAGAAAACCAACCAGGAATGAATGAGTCGTGTAGCCAAGCATATGTTGAGTGATTGCATATTTGACATCGTGCAATTCGTTCAAGTCCTCCACGCCCTGACTGCTGTGATTGTGATAGAAGATAAGGGCCATATGCTTAAATTAATTAATTACATGAGCCTTGTAATTTATTTTACCATCACTGACCAATCGTCTTCCTCCTTTTCGAACCTCATCATGGTCTCGGTCAGACTGAATTTGGTTTCCAACATATACTGCTTCCAGTAGCACCTAAAAGAAAAAAACATACATATACGAAAGTTTTTTCTTGGCAGTTAGTGGCGCCAAGTCCTTACCCTTTCAGCTCTTTGTCATTTACGGGACCGCGGAAGTACCGCGATTCCATTTGTTTAAATAATTCCTCAAAAGAAGCCTCCACTGATCCTTTGTAGAGCTCGCTGGTGTTCAATGACTGAACGTCGAACAGTTCCGGGATGGGCATTGATTCGTAGATGTCCCGGAAATCTACAAAGTTTCGATGCGTCAAAAAAAGTTGGTGCTTATAGGATAGCGGGGGGGAAATAATGATTGCGAATATTTTAAATGACCGTTGGATTTTGCGAGTGGCATTCCGAATATAGCGTCGATAAAAATGAACTAACAAGAAGACGCTTTTCAGTGTCGTCGGGAATTTGGAATGAGACCAAGCCTATCTTGTCCAGAATTTTCCGCTGATTCCGAATTTAGCTGCCGTTTTTGTGGAGTAGACATTTCTCGAAAGCTACGAACGATCTCAACCTAAAAACGCCGCCAAATCGGTTACTTTCGATGGAGATAAAAAGCTTTGGAATAGGTTTTAGAAAAAAACAGTAGATAGTGCATCTTCTTCAGAAAAAAATTAGCTATCAAACACGCTACTTACTTCGAAAATGTTAATTCTGCACAAGATAGGTTTGGTCGCATCCAAAGTCCCGACGAAACTCAAAAAAGTCTCTTTGTAAGAAAATTAACTCCACGACAAAACAAAATGCATTTGCATTTGTATTTGCAAGAGCAATCTTTTACCGAATAGAATAGAAATAGAACAGGAGCACATATTTTCGACATTTTGAGAAGGTCATTCGAAAGGCCGAAAAAATACGAAAAACTGTTTCACCACGCCAAAACTATTTTGATTATGTGCTTCCCCGGCCGGTACGTCTAACAACTTACGCTGGAAAAAGGGATCAACCTTATCGTATGGAAAGGGGCCTGTAGTCGGATGTTCCCGATCCCATTCCAGAAAGCTATCTAGCACAAATGCTCTATGCTCCGCCCAAATTCTTGCTTCTTCCTTGGTAATCGGTTCAGGGCAACGTTCCACGAAGATCTCGTGGTATGCCTGTAGGATGCCGGGGATCAACCTGACAATTTGGTGTTTAAGAAGGAATTATAGATACAATCGTTTGGGAGAAAAACAGACTTGATGCCTTTCTCGTAAAGATGTGGATCTCCGCCAGTGAAATTCATCTGGTGTGGATAGCCGTCTAGCCCGAAGATCCTCCTTACATCGTTGACCCGAGCCTTGGCTTTCTGAATTTAGCGGCATTTTAACTCGCTTGCATGACGTTCTTTCCCAACTTAAAACCTGCTATGTATTTTCGGGGTACCGCGGCACTTGCGGCGCGGACACTTGCGGCGCCACCTTGCGGTTACTTAGTTTAAGCAGGATAAAAATAGTTTAGAGTAGAGTGTTATTTATACGCTGCTTCTGAATTTGGTGATAAAAAAATAAAAAGTGTCTGCCCGTGCCCTGGCAGGCAATTCGGTACTATTGAAGTTGGGGGGGGGGGGCAAAATTTTTTTGCGGCCAATTTTCGTCATTCTCGACTATTTTGTTCAGTTTTTAATGCTGAATCGAATGCAACTATTTTTAAATTTATTTGATAATAACAACGTAACAATTAGGTCAACAAAATAGCATAACAACTTTCACTCGCAGGGATAAACCTCCGTGACGTGCGACCAGTAGTGAAAGAACGGATCATTTCCAAATTCCTGTCGCCAAGTAAACTCGGCGAGGTAGTCCTTGTAGCGTTCATTTGAGCGAACATTGATCCCATGTTTAGCCTTAAGCCAAGTTAAATGCGAAAAGTAAACTTTGAACGCTCCACGTTGCCTTTTATACCTCTATCGAATGTCTTTTGGCATCATTACTGTATACCGCCCGAAACCCGTGATAAACTCTATTAATAATGTTGCTAAAATATTCAGAAAACGAATCCAATAATTTTAAAATGTTGCTTCAATTCAGCATTAAAACTGAACAAAATAGCCGAAAATGACGAAAATTGGCCGCAAATTTTGCCCCCCATTCATGTACCGGCAATTCACCTCCTTTCCTGAGGGGGGCGCCAGTCCCACCCCCTCGTCAGCTTGCACCCGTGGCTGACTGGTATCCATCCGCCCCTCCCGAACGGGGGGTCCGGGTTCGACCCCCGACCGCGGCAAAAATCTTTGCTTTCTTGCCAATAAACGTCCCTGAACGTCTATCCTACTGTCGTATATAGGCCTTACATTTCAGGCAAAAGCCGGAAGAGAGACGAGAGCCCTCACGGTTTCGATCCTGGCACCAAATTGTTTTAGACCGATTTCTTGAAAACACTTTAATTCGCAGATTCTAGCTCATTTTGAAATTCCACATTACGTAGGTTTCGTGTTTTAATCAGCGAATTTGACCCAGAAAAAGCCGAGGTTCACGTGGTTTTGGAGGTGACCACTGGCAATTTCAAATTTCGCCGCTTCCCGCTCTTTGGGTGTGCACAGGTCCTGGCCGTTTGGGGCTAATTTTTTCCGACTGTATTTGAATTTTTGGCAGCTCAGCGTCCCGTTGAACGTGAATAGATGCGTGGTGTGACCATGCAACTAGCTGCCTTTTCAGCGCGAGGCTTGGCCTACCTCCAAATCGGCAGGCAACTTGTGGCGGACGCCAAAACGGCTCGACGGCGAAACATAGCCGGCTTCAACGACAACCCCAATAACGCATATCACCAGGAGGAGGGCTGGTATTCCACTGGAACACCACATCCTGAAAAATGGGGGTGATCAAGGGGACTGGAAACGGAGGCGGCTGGGGCCGCGATGGTGTAGGTATTTTTTGAAAAATTGGTCTAGTGGCGAGTGCAAATCAGAAAAGAACTAAATCCAAGGAAAGGATGGAGTTATTGGAATGATTTGCTTGTTGGGAATGCTCTCGAGCAAAGATGCTGTGTGAACGTGTTTTCTTCCTGCCAAAAAGACAATTTAAGATTTACGGGCAATCGGGGTTAGCGGGCGTAGCTGGTTTCTTCTCCAGGATGACCCTTTCGGCACCTTCGGCAGATGTCCCAGATATCGATTGACCTCGCAAAAATGTTGATCATGATATTTTGAATCAACAGGACCGGCAGGCTCCGAAATTTTCTCGTGGTGCTGATACCATTTTCTTGACCATAAAATGAATCAACTTGTTAAATATTCGTTTTATAGCCTTCATTTATCAGAAAAAACTGAATATAAACGGAAAACGGAAACGGAAAATTAATAAGGTTAAGACCTGAGAAAGGACTGAGCAACAGATAGCTAATTAAAAGAACATAAAATTGTAACATTCATTATAATCCGATCGAAACTGGGACGGCTTGTACACAGCAACGAGAGGTTTCTGAGAGTAATGGTGCGGAAATTGTGATTGGATGATAGTAGGGGCTAATGGGCAAGATCCAGAATCCTCCAGCTGGCTTTTGAACGGCAAAGCATTGACGGTGATTTTCGGAAATGTTCGTTTGCTTCTCCAGTCTGTTATCCACTTCAACCATCGATGCATCCAGATCGCCGTACGTTTCATAGCCCCTGAAAAAATTATGGTTTAAGAAGGTGATAAGAAGAGGATGCCAGAAAACGCTGCCGGAAATGCCGAAAAAATTCAGACTCACAGCAAGACATCCTTGATAATTCGCTGAGCTTCTCCTCGTGGATTCGTTAGCTCCGAACGGTTTCCTTGCAGCGCATGGGATTGTTCTAAATAATTGGCATAGAAGAATATTTTTCGAGAAATTTTCGGAGTTGGGAGTTCTTTTACTGTAAAGTGTTTTTACTCAAGTTGGAGTTTCGATTCAGGACCAAGTGCATCTTGTGCAGAATTTTTCGCTGATTCCGAATCCGCTTTCCAAATTTGCTGCGGACTTTTATTTTGAAAGTTATACAGCAGTTACGGTAGTGTTTTTCACCAAAATCAAGGAACCGTTATCGTTTTCGATTTTCCTGATCAATTTCAACTTCAAAATTGGCTAGAGATTGGCTAGACAAGCATCTTAAAAGTCAAAACAAGCTTTTTTATAAAAAATCAGTATTTTTATGCAAAAAGCAAAAGAACGGTGCAGAGCGGGGATCCGAACCGCCGCCCTGCGCTTGGCAAGCGAATGCTTTGCCGATGCACCATGGTGCCAACCGGGAGCGTAGCTGTGACAGAGTACTTCAGGGCCCCTGGGAGCCGCAGAACCATGGAGGGAATAGTGGACCAGGATCCCAATTTTTGGCTTTTTCAAGCTTAATTTGCACCAAAATGACTTTTTAAATAAAAATCCGCAGCAAATTTGGAAAACGGATTCGGTATCAGCAAAAAATTCTGCACAAGATGAACTTGGTCCCGAATCGAAACTCCAACTTGAGTAAAAACACTTTACAGTTAGTTCTTTTTTTCTTACTGTTCTAAATTATTTCTTTCTGAACTGCTGAAAGAATTCTTTTGTGATTAGAATGGCATACTTTGCAAGGGCCTGGCAGCATCTAGGTCAAAATTTATCGGTGTGCGAAATGCGCCGTTTTTGGCCAAGTCCCACTTTTAATTTTCGAAAACCTTGAGTTAAAAGGCCGATTCCATAGTGAGAAAATCCTATCCTATAAGCGAGAAAAGTATGTTTGTTTTCTGTGCAGCCGATTTCTCGGCCGTCCGGCTGAATTTCAGGCTGATTTTTGGAATGGAGGTGTGTAATGCCATTTATGAGAAACGGTTTTTTGGATTTTCCGAAATTCCTTTATTTACCCACCAGTGGAAAATGACCGCTTCGCGGCCCTTTTCCACTGGACCACGTCTAGGAATCATGAATTCCCTTTCCTTTTATTGTAGCCGGACGGTGCAAGAGCCTGACTCAAGGAACCATTCGTTGGCCTGCGCCGCCAGAGCCAGCTTCGCGCTAGAAACTTTTGCCTGCGGCGCTAGCTACTGGTTTTTCGCCCGGATTTAGCCTGCGGCGCGAAAGCGTATGTCAAGGAGCTGTTCTTTGGCCTGCGGCGCCAGAGCCAGGATTCCGCTATAATGTTTGAGCCTGCGGCGCTAGTTACTGGGTTGTTTCCAGGATTGGCCTGCGGCGCCAGAGCCTGGGTCAAATTTCTTTTCTTTGGCCTGCGGCGCTAGAGCAAGGGCCAGGCCTAAAACTCGCATACCGAGACCATAGAAATATGTTTTGTTGTTGAACTACCAAAAAGCAAAAAGTTAAATTCGGCGTGGATTCGAACCCGGACCACGCGCTTGGTAGGCCGGTCGCCTATCCACTACAATACGGGCGAGATGGCCATGGGCGGCGGGAAAGGCCTCTTCTGTCTTGCGGGCGGCCTGTCTGGCTGTCTGGCAACTTTACAAAATTCTCTTTTTGAATCTAAATGCGCCGAAAATTTGTAAAAATAATAATATGCGCGTGATCCCCACTATCGAATACATAAGTGGACCAAATTACAGACCAAATTCCATCTGGGATTCGAGTTATGGCCCGGACACCACGGGACTGTGGCCATTTTATTAAGGACCTTCTAGTAAAATGCTCATAAAAATTTTATTTTAAGGAATTTGGCAAAATCCAAAAAATAGTATCGGGAGAATTGCTTTTACCACTCACCCGCCAAAAATCAGAGCCCAACTCCTCTTGGCGGCCGAGAAAACCTCCGGACATACCTTTTTTTGGGCAAAACGTTAAGGATTTTTCACTATTTTTGTTGTAAAATCGTTAAATGAAGAAATTTGGCAAAACAAAAAAAATGCATCACTGACAAATGTGTTTCTCCACCTCCTTGCCAAAAATCAGCCGGAAATTCGGCCAGACCGCCGAGAAATCGGCTGTACAGAAAACACACATACTTTTCTAGCTTATAGGATAGGATTTTAGAATCCCTGTCATCTTTCCTAAAAGTCATCTTTCCTAAAGTCATCTTTCCTAAAGTCATCTTTCCTAAAAGTCATCTTTCCTAAAAGTCATTTTTCCTAAAAGTCATCATTCCTAAAAGTCATCATTCCTAAAAGTCATTTTTCCTAAAAGTCATCTTTCCTAAAAGTCATTTTTCCTAAAACTAGGTAATCGTAAATTTTTATTTTTCCTCAAACCCCTTTTTTATAAAAACCATTTTTTTCGAAGATTAATTTTTCTTGAAGTTAGGTATGCGAATAAGGATGCCACCTCCGCCTAACTTGAAACCTGCTTCCTGTGTAGAAACGGCAAAATGCCTTGAACGCCGTCAGTCCTCATAAAAACTCATAGTCGCATCGGAGCCTATCCTTTTTTTTGATTTCTGAATAGTTTTATGAATTCAAAGATAGCATAACTTAAATCAAAACATCCCGAAAAGGTCTAGTACGGCATGGAGACATTAAAATTTTACGGCCCGGGCCTCTCCAAAAAAAATTTTTCTTGCAAAAAAACCAACTGAGAAATATTGATTTTTAGGAAAAATGACTTTTAGGAAAAATGACTTTTAGGAAAGATGACTTTTAGGAAAAATGACTTTTAGGAAAAATGACTTTTAGGAAAGATGACTTTTAGGAAAGATGACTTTTAGGAAAGATGACTTTTAGGAAAGATGACTTTTAGGAAAGATGACTTTTAGGAAAGATGACTTTTAGGAAAAATGACTTTTAGGAAAGATGACTTTTAGGAAAGATGACTTTTAGGAAAGATGACTTTAGGAAAGATGACTTTAGGAAAGATGACTTTTAGGAAAGATGACTAAAACCCAGGATTTTACAAGCAAAAACGTGAAAAATCCTTAACAATCTCTCGAAAAATCGGTATGTTCAGAGGACATCTCGCGATACCGACTCAGTTGGGCCTTGATTTTTGGAGGGCCGAAATAAAATACAATTGCCCCAATACCATTTTTTGGATTTGTAGAAATTCTTTAAAATAAGCTTTTTATGATTATTTTTAGAAAAATTCCTTAACAAATGCCTAGCGTACCGTGGTGCCCGGGCCGTAACTCGAAGCCCCGATGGAATTTCGGGCTGGAATTTAGACAACTAATGTACTCGATAGTGGTGATCACGAGCAGCTTATTATCTTTACAAATCTACAGCGGATTCAGATCCAAAACTGAGATTGCGTAAAGTGGCCTCCCACAGGTAGGATTGTTGGTCGCCCCTTTGCCCCCTGCCCCCCGCCCAGGACGCAAGAGGCCTTTCCCGCCGCCCGTTCCCATCTGCCCCGTGGTTTAGTCGGTTAGCGCGCGGTCTACCACGCGTCAAGCCGTGAGTTCGGATCCCCGGCGAATTTAATTTTTTTGCTTTTTGGTAGTTCAGCAACAAAAAATATTTCTAGGCTCTCGTTGTGCGAGATTTAGGCTTGGACCTCGCTCTAGCGCCGCCGGCCAAAGAAAATGTCCTTGGCCCGGGCTCTCGCGCCGCAGGCCAAATCCGGGGGAAAACCAGTAACTAGCGCCGCAGACTGGAAGATTCTAGCGCCGCAGGCCATAGAATGGCTCTTTGACTCAGGCTCTTGCGCCGCAGGCAAAAATATGAAAGTGTTCAAATTCATGGTTCCTGGACGGGGTCCAGTGGAAAAGGGCCGCGAAGCGGTATTTTTCCACTGGTTTTTCAATACGATGACAATATTAATTTTGATCAAATCAACCAGAAAGATCAAAACAATCGAACTTAAATTTCCACAATTTCAAGGCTTAAAAGCTTATAACTTTTGAATCCAAACCTATCCTGCAGTTTTGAAAAACTTATTTGGAATCAACGAAAAATTCTTCATGTGACGTGCTCAGGGACGTAGCGTAAGGTGGGCCCCCTGGGCCCGGGGCCCCTCCCCCGAAATCGGCCGGGGCCCGAAAATTTCATAAGGGGGGACCCTTATAATTTTTATTTTCTCAAAAATTTTGCGGCCTGCGGCGCTGTTTTCTCGTTAATTTTTTTGAGTTTTTCGGAAAAATTTTTTGGGGCCCCCCCCCCGAAATTTTTTTCTGGCTACGCCCCTGGACGTGCTAGACCCCTTTCGATTGCCAGCCTGACTTTAGGAGGTTCTCGCTCAGGGAAATCGGGACCTTGCATACCGTGCACAATATCATAACCGATCTTCCGGCTGATCAGGAACTGGAGACCATCTTCACCATGGCGGGAAGCGCAGTTGGAAGATTTATTGAAGACGGATAGTTGTTGATTTGTGGAGACGATTGTAGCGTGGATGGCCCAGCTGAAATTGGAACTTTGATTTTCCCTTCTCTCTCATATCCACACACATGCCCGTACGGGAGCCGAGATTTCGGGGGGGGGGGCACCCACCCAAAAAATTTTTGGCGACCTCCAAAATAGCGACAATAACAGCGCCGCAGGCGAAAAAATTTAGAAAACCGCGTTCGTAACGCTTAAATTCGTGTGAAAACACATCGGAAACGGCGCGGGCAAGCGAAATTTAGTTCAGCAAAAATGGTGCACTAATGAAAACGAGCGCCGCAGACAAAAAATTTTAGAAAAATAGGTTTTTTAGAAGTAAAAATCGTTTCGAAACAGTGATAAACAGCGCCGCAGGCAGAAAAATTTTTGCGAAAAAAAATCATAAGGGTTCCCCCTTATGAACTTTTCGGACCTCGACCGATTTCGGGGGCAGCGGGGCACGGCACCCCCCCTCGTACGGGCCTGTCCACACACACCATCTCACTTACTCGCTCAGAGCAAAGAAACGAATTTTTTCGGCGGTGTTCCTGACGGTATTCTTGAAAATTGTCGTCTGGTCCGCGTCCGCCGCCGTCTTTGCAATCAGATATTCAGCGCGAAAAACTTCTTGCTGCACCCACGGCCAGGCGTTCTGAATTGAATTTTGGGCTTGACTTTATTTTAGAGATTTTTTAACACGATTAGCTAGAGCATCGAAAAATATACCACGAGTTTATGGTAGCTCCAAACACGGTAATATAATAAAGGTTATAGCAAAAATAGAAATAACTTTGAAAATCGGTTATAAATGGTGGTTTTCCATTTTTGCTATTTTTTCGACATTTTCAACCCACGAGTCGATCGAGCATTAAGAAATATACTAATAGTTTTAATTTCAGCTCAAAATAATGTAAAATAAACATAGTTAATTCAAAAGCAAACAAAATTTGGCAAAATGCTAAACATTAATTCAATTTTATAAATGTCAATATTTATTTTGTCGTAATTTCTGGCCGGTGTATGATGGTTTTTTGTGTGATTTTTGTCGATTTTGGGATCTAAAAAAAATTTGGGCAAAACATACCGCCAATGATTGCTGACTGTACATGTATAGATGTTCGGTGATTTCAATCCTTGCATTTGCAATCGCGTAATAGTCCTCTGGCTCATATTCCCCGGCATTCTCGAAATACATATACCTGGCGTGCTCCTAAAACCGATTAACTCGATAACGCAGCACAATTTCCTTACAATCATCATTAAATCCATCTCGCTCTTTTGGAACTGCGGCCAGGTGTCCGCCAGGCTGAATTTGCCGTCGAAAATGTGTTGCTTCATGTAGCACCTAAATGAACGTTTTGGCCGCGTCGTTTAAAGGGGCTCCATGCTGAAAAAATTGAGTTACGGCCCGGAAAGGGAAGTTACATTGGAGACGTTTGCACACCCCAGAGGGCGGGGAGCGCCTGAATTTAAAATTCCCCGTTGTCACTGTCAGAACCCGTTCTGGGCTGTTTCTGGGCCAAATTCGATGATTAAAACAGCAAAACTATTTAAAAATTGGGTGAGGCTTCAAAAATGAGCTCAGAACCCGCGAATTATAGTGTTTTCACAAAGAAATCGAGCGCGAATTGGCTTTCGAGTCGCAACCAGACCTATTTTGTGCAGAATTTTGCGCTGATTCCGAATCCGTTTTCAGAAAGTGCTAATGGCCATTTTGACGGAGGTAAAAGGCTTTTAGCTAAACGCTCCGAAAAGATTTTCTCTCTTTCTTCACATTTTCTAAGATTTTATGAGCATTGAAAGTGTGCCGTTTCGAAGCCTTGACTGCTTCAAATGGCCATTTAGCAATTTTTGAAATCACGTTCGGAATCAACGCAAAATTCTGCACAAGATGGGATTGGTCCATCTAGAAGCTTCAAGATCGCTAAAAAAGCCGCTACTTGTAGGAAAAGATAATTACCCGGTGAAATCTGAGGCATCAGCCGGATATTGACTGGGGAACTGTTTCTCCATTCGCTTGAATAATCCCGCAAAAGAAGCCTCAGCAGATCCCATATCGAGTTCGGGGATGTTCAGCGACTTTACGTCGAACAACTCCTGATTTGACATCGTTTCGTAGAGGTCGCGAAACTCTAAAACACCTCGTCGGTACTTGAAAAATTTCACGACTAATTTTAAAAACAGTAAAGATTACACGTTACTGTTTAAAGTGCTGTCATGCGGCACATACTTACGTTGGAAAAATGCGTCAACCTCACTACGAGGAAAGTTATTTCCAGCCGGATATCCTCTTGCCCAAGCAAGGTAAGCATCCAGCACAAATGCTCTATGTTCCGTCCAAATCTTCGCTTCCTCCTGGGTGATCGGATTGGGGCATTGATCCACGTAGAATTCTTTGAAAGCCTATTAAAAATAACAATAATTCAAACTGAACCACCGCCGCTGACCTGCAGGATGTCGGGGATCATTCTGAAAAAATTGGGTTAAAATGGGAATTCAGAATTTTAGAAAAAGACTTTTATGATTTGCAATCATTCCCCACTGTTTCAAACCGATGCGCGATATTTAGGACGTGGATAAAAATTAAGCATAGCATTAAAAACTACGTTAGAATGCAGTTTACCCCCCCCCCCCCCCAGCCGGTACCCAACTTTTATCTGGGCTCCCTGTTCATCTACAGACAGGCCCGTACGAGGGGGGGGGGGGGCACCGGGGGCACGGTGCCCCCCCCGAAATCGGGCGAGGTCCGAAAAGTTCATAAGGGGGGACCCTTATGATTTTTTTTCATAAAAATTTTTCTGCCTGCAGCGCTGTTTACCACTGTTTTGAAACGATTTTTACTTCTAGAAAACCCATTTTCCTAAAATTTTTTGCCTGCGGCGCTCGTTTTCATTAGTGCACCATTTTTGCTGAACAAATTTAGCCGTTTCCGATGTGTTTTCACACGAATTTAAGCGTTTCCAACGCGGTTTTCTAAATTTTTTCGCCTGCGGCGCTGTTATTGTCGCTATTTTCGAATGTTTTGAAGTTTTGAAAGTGGCGACCGGGGGGGGGCGATTATACCAAAATGTTCGTCTTGCTGTGGCGAGTATTTTGGTATATCTTACACACCTGTAGATGAACAAGCAGCCGAGATACGGTAGGTGAGGGTCTGCTGGGGGGGGGTGTAGACTGCATCTAATAAGCCAAAAACAAACTTGAAGCCCTTTTCGTAGAGACGCTCATCTCCACCGGTGTTATTCCAAGCGATTGGAAAGCCCTTCAACCCGAAGATTCTCCTCATATCATCCACGCGCGATTGCGCCAGCTGAAAAATTGTATTGTATTTATGGCAAAATCGGAACGCTAATAGGGTTTATGTTAGGAATTTTGAAAATGGTGTGCAGTATTTTTGGCTGATTCAGAATCCATCGCTGCAATTGTCGCGAAATAGCTCGATTTCAAAACTAACAGCTTTTTGAGGTCATTTTTCGGGTCGGAAGAGCTGTCATTATGATATACTTTTTGTTTTAATGTTAGAAGTCTGCGAAATAGGCTATTTTCAGCATATTCCGCGTTCAAAAAATGGAGTCGATATAGTTTTCTATTCATTTAAGATCGGCCGCAAGAATTAAACTAATGGGTTGTGAATTTCCGGAGATCTAAAAATCTCCTGATCGTAATAGCTGTCTTCGTTAATCGAGTTTTTGACAAAGTTTGAAAACGGGTTTGGAACCAGCAAAAAATTTTACACAGGATAGGCTGGGCCCCATTTCGAAACGGCACCTTCCGTTAGCTGGCTGCCGGGTGAGTCTTTCGAAATGTCAGAACCTGACGAAGAAGTACCGCCGCATACTCACTTCAAATTCGGCAGGCAATTTATGGCGGAACGCAAATCGGCGATTCGGAATTGAGCCGCCGACTGTTAGCAGGCAGAACCATGTGAGAAGTGCAGGCATTCCGGCAGGGTACCGCATCCCGAAAAAATTTAGTCGATTAGAAAGACCGGAAAGTGACGAAAAAGCTATTGAAAGATGTGATGAAAGGAGAGTGATAGAATCACGGCCCCGTCTGTCATATTTATATTTAGGGAATAGGGGATGATCTAAGAAAAGGAAGAGAGAGAGTGATACTGTTTGTTGTGGGCCTTGTCAAGCCAGGGTGACCTCCTGCCAGCATCTGCGGCAGAGGTGTGCATCAGTAAATGACCGCACAAATAGACAATCGTCGATTCGAATTACGACCTCAACTTCTGTGATGAAAAAGAGATGGGATTGAGTGTAGAGATGTTATTATTCAAATCAAATCCTACTCAAATCCGATTTGATTTGAATAAGAAGATTTGAGATTTGATTCCGCCGAAATCAAATCTGGATTTGATTTGAAACTGGCTGGATTTTCAAATCAAATCCAGATTTGATTTGAGAAACTTTCAAATCTGCAGTCATTTTTACGGATGTAAATCACAAGTCGAGCACCAAAAAATGTAGGCAAAAGAGGGAAATTTTTGATGTTTTGCATATGATCATCATCGAATAAACCGGAAATTGCTGATAAGCATCCATTTTCTCGCATTTGCTTCGGAAATTTGGGTTGCTCAAATTAATCAAATCAAATCGGTCCAGGATTTGATTTGAATTCAACTTCCGGTTCAAATCAAATCCGATTTGATTTGATTCTGCCGGCAAATCAAATCAAATCTGGATTTGATTTGAGAAACTTTCAAATCCTCAGATTTGATTTGAATAATAACATCTCTAATTGAGTGTCGTCCGGACTTCGGTATGGCACAACGTCTACCTGGTGCGGAATTTTGAGCTGATTCTCAATACGGTTACGGTATTTGCGGAATAGCCATTTCTCCAAAGTTATGAACGATTTAAATCCAAAAACACCCCAAACTGGCGACTTTTAATGGAAGAACAAGAACAGGTTTTGGAAAAAAACAGCCGGTGCAGCTTGCTCGAAAAAATGTCACCAATTTAAATCGCCAACAAGTTAGATTCACGCGTAGTTTCTTGATCGTTCGATTTTTTTTGGATTGATTAAATGTTTATCGCCAATAAATTATCAAAAAAATATTACATAATTTGCATGCCTTAAATGTTTGAAAAAAATAGCCTACAAAACCAGTTAGCACGCCATGCTAAAAAAATGCGTTTTCGCATAAGCTACAAGTCTATGTTTCCAAGTCTTTCTGAGAAAAATCTGCAGTTTGTGTAGATGTACCTTAAATCCACGTGTGAAATAAAGTTACGATTTATCGAATCAAAAAAAGAGTGGAAAATGTTACATAGGTCGTATTCAGGCCCGTAGGAGGGGGGGGCCCCCCCGAAATCGGTTGAGGTCCGAAAAATTCATAACGGGGGACCCTTATGATTTTTAGTTACAAAAATTTTTCTGCCTGCGGCGCTGTTTATTACTGTTTTTCAAACAGTTTTTACTTATATGCGGCCTATTTTTTCAAAATTTTTTGCCTGCGGCGCTAGTTTTTCATTTGTGAATCAATTGTTCTTAAAAATTTTCCCCTGCGGCGCGTTTTCTGTCGACACGAATTTGAGTGTAGCAAACGCTTTTTTGCTATTTTTTGCCTGCGGCGCTATTATTGAGGCGATTTTCGGATGTTTTAAGGGGAGGTCGCCAAAATTTTTGGCCCCCCCCCCCGAAATTTCGGTTCCGCTACGGGCCTGGTTGTATTGATTAAAAGTGCCAACCAAGGCTAGTTAAGGCGAATTTTACTTTTAAAAAGTAATTAATAAAAAATTTAAAAAGTCCAATTTTTAATTACAAGTAATTCCGATATCCGTTCCAAAAATTCCGACAAAACATCAATATAACAAAACATGATAGCAATCCTTAGTACCCAACAGGGTTTGCGGTGTCTCGTAAGATGCAGCGAGCGTTGGGGCAATTTCGGTAGGATAACGGTGGCCCTGGTAGAAGATGGGGGCTGGGGGGCAAGTGGCCAAATACGAGCTCGGATGACTTTTTGAGACTCTCATGCACTGGGTAATTTTTGATGATGGTTTACTGAAATGGGGGCCATTTCTCGCTCCTGCGCCCAATCGCTTTCCAAGCCTCTCCATCGACGCTTCCAGGTTGTCCCGCACGTCAGCACCTCTGAATTTTGTGTATTTCAGATTCCGTGAGAGCCTCCTAAGGTCAGGGTGGCAAACTAAGGCTACCCACCATTACTTCTAAAACCATTACTTCTAAAAGTCGTTACTTCTAAAATTCTAAGCCTCGTTTTGGGCATAAATATGGCCAAACGTGCCGAAAAACTGGTAATCCAGCGTACCAAATTTTAGAAGTAAGGTTCTTAGAAGTAAGGATTTTTAGAAGTAATGACTTTTAGAAGTGATGGTTTTGGAAGTAATGATCGTACCCAGGGGCGTAGCCAGAAAAAAATTTCGGGGGGGGCCCCGAAAAATTTTTCCAAAAAAACTCAAAACATTGCCGAAAAAACAGCGCCGCAGGCAAAAATTTTTGAAAAAAAGGTTACATAGCTCTACAAATAGCCGTAAAAACGTGCAAAAATAGCGCCGCAGGCAGCAAAATTTTTGAGAAAATAAAAAACATAAGGGTCCCCCCCTTATGAAATTTTCGGGCCCCGGCCGATTTCGGGGGGGGCCCCGGGCCCCCGGGGCCTGTATTACGCTACGTCCCTGATCGTACCCCGTAAATTAAGATAGTATTTTTTTATTTAAGATTTAAGTAAATTAAGACAGCTTATGCAGATTTTTTTTGGCTGATTCCGAATCTGTTTTCAAAAACCGCAAAATCGCACGGGTTGAATAGTTATAACGTTTTTGCGCTCACGTTTTGTTTCTAATTCATGATAATTAACGTATCTAGAAAAGGTTTTTTTTTATTCGAATGGTATATTTTTAGCACCTGGCAGTTTCTAGATTGCAGTTTACCGGTGCGCGAAATGCCTCGTTTTTCGCCAAGTTCTAGACAAAAATAGCAATCCGTACCAACCATGCCAATTTTTCGAGTTTCGGAAATTTTAATACTAACCGGCAAATTACTGTAAACTCACCCAAAGACTTCGTTTACAACTTTCTGAAATTTCCCTCCATCCGACTCAAACATTCCACGCATTACCGACGTGGTTTCAGCTAAAAATGTGACCAAATTTGGAGGTCGACCTACGAATCAGTTCCTCGTCCGGCATCAGAAATCGTCGGCGGCTAATCAAAAAGGTGATGCCATCGACGTCAATCTGGGATGCACAGTCCGAAGATTTTTCGTAAATTGATAGTGGTTGATTGGGGATGATGATGGAACAGCGGACAACGAATCTGAAGGCAAGGATGTAAAATTCTCTCTCTCTCTCTCTCTCTCTCTCTCTCTCCGACTGTTTGTTTAATCGTCAAATAACCGACTCCTCTGGCAATGCGCGAATAATCTTTGTCACGGCACTCTGCACTGCATTCTCCACAACTTCTGACTTATTCCAGCTTTGCGATGTGTTGGCAATCAGATATTCGGCACGTAGCATTTGCAGATGCACCCAGGGCCATGCAGAAATCTGAAAATAGCAGGGCAAGATACCGAGGCAGGATGAAACGTATTCCGTTTCAGCTCAGATCTAGAAACTTTTACGGACAGATATAACTAGGGCTCTTCCAAAACAAACCGCGGTTGATTGCCGATCCAAATTACTCAAAATGTAATAGATCATTGCCCACTCATCCTCCCTCCGCCTCTTCAGCTCCGGCGCACGGCTGATTCCGGTGAAATTCGCATAGAGACGCGTTGCATCTTCCTGAAATTGCAGTATTTCCTGGACGAGGCCAGGGTTAAAAGCCGCGAAATGTTTTTGCAACGTTAGCATTAAAATAAAAGTCGCGGAAAAAAACTTTTATATTACACTTTTCGCACTGAAAGTAATTCTCTGATGATATTTAAAACGTGCTATCGATTGGCGTTTGCAAAATCTAAAAAAGTTTAGAAAGTTGGCGTCCCCACCCTGCTACTCTACGTGTACCAAGAAATTTGATCCAGAATTTTTGGAAGCTGAGAATATTGAGTCGTTTCCTTACCAAAATCTGCCACTCATTGTTGATCCGGGATCTTATCTCCTCTGTGATCCCGAGGTCGTTGTGCATCATATAGATCTTCCAATAGCAGCTAAATGGTGGTATTTGAGCTGGTAGTTCAACGGGCTCACGAAATGCACCTATGCAAGGCGGGGTTTGCCTATACTTCCAAAAATCGGATTCCCGAAAATGGGTTCCCTGAAATTCGCAGCCCCGACAATCGGAGCCCGAAAATCTGAATCCCGAAAATTTGGCTACTGCTTTTTAGGCTTCCGGCTTCCATAAAAACCCAAATCTCTGCAAATATTTGCGGGACTCCGATTTTCGGGAGTCAGAGTTTTCGGGGGCTCAGATTTTCGGGGCTATGATTTTTCGGGACTCCGATTTTCGGAGCCGGGCCCATTATTAAGTCCTACCTTTCGAGTTGCGTGGTATTTACTGGCCCACGGAAGTACTGGCGCTCCATTAGCTTGAATAATTCCTCAAAAGAAGCCTCCGCGGACCCCTTGTTGAGTTCGGTGATGTCCAGCGACTTTACGTCGAAAAGCTCCTGATTTGGCATTGCATCATAGATGTCGCGAAATTCTAGAGGCTATCGATATAAACTAGGAATTAACGATTAATGGCCGCTAGCGCGTTTCATTTTAACTTCAATTCGAAAAGTTAGACAAGGCACGGCTATGGATTTTTGGCTATAGATTCCAATGGATCATGCCGCGCCAAGATTGCCATTCTATCGCGCACCCATTCCGATACATGTTTCACAAATTAACTTTTAAAAAACCCGTTATTTTCAAAAATACCTTTAAGATTGCATTTTACCTAAAAATCATTTTCCCTAGACCCCTTTCTTCAGAAAATATCGAATTGCATGTCGCGGCCAAATCCATAACCAGCCTTGCCCTTCCCTTTAACAACTTACGCCTGAAAAACCCGTCGACCTCCTTGTCAGGAAAGAATTGTCCGGTAGGGTATTCGCCACGACCCCATTCCAGATAAGCTTCCAACACAAAATCTTTATGCTCAACCCAAATCTTTGCTTCTTCGGGGGTATTGGGTTTGGGCAGCGGTCAATGAAGATTTCCTTGTATTCCTATTGAGGAATGATATTTTTCTTCTCCAAACAACGAAACTTACTCTCATGATGTCGGGGATCCATCTAAAAAAAATAGATTTCAATAGGTACTAAAAATATAAAAATATAATGGATAATAGCTTAGCTCAAGCGTAAGCCTACGCTTAAGCAACACAAACCTGTAAGCAATATGGAATGGCTGTTCTTCTCTGCCTTTCAGTAGCGGCCGCCCATCCAGTCCGAAAAATCTCTCGACGTCACGTATGCGTCCGCGCACTCGCTAAAGATTTATTTAGATATTACGGCAGAAGTAAATTCTATTAAAGAATTAAGAAAATACATAATTTTGGCTAATCAGGAAGTATCCTGATTTTTAATTTTGGCTAATCAGGAGTGGTCCTTTTTACGCTTTGACGTTGATAAAACTTTAGAGTATTTTTCCTTTAAAGGGGCCCGGAAATGCCAAAAATGGAGTTACGGCCCAAAAACCTCGGCCATGTACGTGGGAGGACTCTGTACGCACAGGGGCGCGGGAAGCTCGCCAATTTGAAATTGCCTGTTGTCACCTCGAAATCACGTTCTCGGCTGTTTCTGGGCCAAATTCGATGATTAAAACACCAAAACTTTTAAAAATTGAGCGAGGATTTCAAAAATGAGCTCAGAATGCGCGAAATATAGTGTTTTCACAAAGAAATCGAGTAACAACAATTGTGCGCAAAAATCGAATGAGTGAGTGCTCTCGTCCCGCAGCGCCCGCTGGCAATTTGCAGGAATCAAAGAGCCCTCCCAAAAGGGCTTAGATTTGGCAATTCGGTGACCCTTTAAAAACGGGACCGAAAACGCGGGTTACCTCATAATCGGCAGCCAGGATATCTTGGAGACGCTGGACGCGCGGCTGAGAAATCGTGGCGACGGCAGCGGCGATTTGTAGCAAAAAGATCCCTAGCATAAGAGATCGTATTCCGGAAGAATACCGCATCCTGAATATTTTATAGCAGATTAAAGGGACCAGAAAGTGTCGAGAAGATCAGAGTCTATTTTGGGATAGGCCAAAGAAAGATCCGATTGTGCGGAACGACCCTTCTTGCTAGCACTCACACGCCTGACCCAGCTCAGTTATGCCGTTGACCCAAGGCATGGGACGAAGCGAGGGCATTTGCTAAGATGATAGCAGAGTGATAAGATGAGTTTAGAAGATTCTATCATTCACCGACAGTCTGGATTGCGGTTTTGGACTAGTCGAATCAATTATAAATAACAAAAATAGTGTTTGTGTAGATTTGCACGCAACTTCCGTGGCTGCAAGGTGGAGTCAGCCGTTCCGATTTGTACGGCTCAAATCAGCCGCGGGTTAAAGGTACACGAAAATCCCGTTGGTTGGGTTACCGGCCGGTAACCATCCGCGGGATAGCAAACAGGGTTACGGTAGGCACCCGCCGCGGAGCAGGACCGAACCCTCGGTTTTCGGAAGCATTCAAATCTTGTAATTTTCCGGTCTTTGGTTTTTCGGAAACTAGATGTAAACTTTTATCGAGAGGGGTTCTGCAACTTTTTGAAACGGATTCGGAATGAGCCGAAAATTCTGAGCAAGATGTATTGAAATCACCCGGTGATCAAAAACGGTTACAGTTAGAACATCACATCAAATGGACAAGTAAGGCGCAGCAGAAAATCGGCGTTAATAAAGTATTTGAAAAAATGGTATTTGAAAAATTTTTTAAATCATCAAAATAACAAAACATGATAACAATTGCTGGAGCGGAACGGGACTTTGGGCGTTTGGTAAGATGCGGACGCTGTTTTTTGCAGCAAACTAGGGTAACGGGTGTCCTGATAGAAGATCGGGGCCTGGGGGCAATGGCCCGAATATGGGATCGGATGGCTTTTCGCGACTGTCAGGCACTGGATGATGTTCGATGATATGCGGAAGTGGCCACTGTTCGTCGCTTCGGCGCCCAATTTCTTGCTAAGCTTTTCCATTGAACGGTCCAGGTCATTGCGGGCTTCTGAGCTTCTGAAATATCTGCAATATAGGGCATCCTACCTAGCGGCCCGCAGTCTTGCCCGATTTTTACGATTTAGGTATCTATCGAAAGCTCTCGAAAAGGCGAGAAAACAAGGCGGATTCATTTTCTGTATTATGTATTTTTATTCGCTAATTTTACGTCCAAAGACCATGAAAACGGCTGATTTATATAAGTGCCCATGTCAATTGCAAAATTCCTGTTGAAACAGAATCGGTTTTTTAGAAAAACCTTAAATACCGATGGAATGAGATTCAGGCATAAAAAACGAAACGCTTTCCTCGCTTTTTCGAGAGCTTTCCGATAGATAACTAACAAGGGAACCACAAGTTGGCACGGTATCTCCCCCTGGTCAGTATCCTAACAAGCGGCTAGCTTGTTAGGATACTGACCAGGGTTCGAATCCGTTCACGACTTTTTTTGTTTTGCTTTTTGGACGGAAGTTTCGATTTTTTCACATAGTAAAGCTATTATTCGTTGGTGATGAGGCCGATTCCTGCAAAAACCTTTTGAAATTGCATCTTTCATGCGACGGTCCCTGTCAAACGAACGAGTAGCTTTTAAGAAGCTTTTAGTTTTGCTCAAAGTTCCGTCCAAAAAGCAAAACAAAAAAGTCGTGAACGGATTCGAACCCTGGTCAGTATCCTAACAAGCTAGCCGCTTACCACCCGGCCATTCAACTGGTGATTCTTCTAAGATGGGAAGCCCTCATAAACCCTGAGGTGAATGCTAATTCCTCCGAATGTAAATTGACCATTTTCCGGAAGTGCTGTATCTCTGTCCACAGGTCGATTTAGCTAATTTTGACTAGCGCGTTGGAATCGCCGTCGTCGAAAACCTAGGGGTAGCCGCGAGCGTTTTTCGAAATTCCACCGTGCCAACTTGTGGTTCCCTTGTAAATAGTAAAGATCGGACTCGACTGCGGACCGATAGGTAGAGGTTTTTTTTAAAAAAACCCCCCATCCGGTATTTTGCCGCTGCCATCCAATCGGTTTCCAAATTGTACCAGAAGTGTATCAGGCTCTAAAGAAAAATAACCCTGATTTATGGACCCGTACCTACGGAAACTTTTAGCTACGAAAAAAATAAACTTTATGTACCATTTTTCATAGGGTTGCTGCAGAAAACATTAAGTGAAAATTATTCGGTAGGCCTCCTTTACCTTCAGAAATCTTTTACGGATTAAAGTGAATCAAAGAAGCAGTTTTTCCAGCGCAAAGTATTTTTATCGAAGTCCATGAAAATCAATGCAAAGTCCAAAAAATAGGCAAGAAAACTGTTTAGAATTGCGGAAAAAAGCAGTATTTTCGTTATAACCTGAGAACTGCCATAGCAAAGGGGCTAAAAGTTAGGATTGTTGTTATCTAGGGTCTTTATGACAAATCGTAATGGGGGGATTTTTCGTAGGTTATCTTTAGTCCAATTTTGGGGTCGATTCGATGGAAGGCGGCAAAATGGTTATTGCCCAAAAATAGAGAACCAAAAAAGTCCCCTTCCCTGCCGGGCCGCGATCATTTCGGATTTTTGTGATGTGGGTATCTATCGAAAGCTCTGGACAAAACGAGTCCAGATAAGATCGCTAATTTTCAAAATTACGGTCCCTTTAGCTTTAATTAAATGATTAAACGTGAATTTTGCAAAGGGTTTCTCAGGATTACCCGAAAATATCCTCGACGTTCTGCGGAAGTTTCACATCAGCCTCCTCCCAAAACCCGCGCATTGCGGTCAGGGTCCCAGCTAGAAAAATAGGATCAAGATTTTGGCGTCGACCCACGCCCCGTCTCGTTTTCTCCATGACCAAGGTGTCGGCGGCTGATCAAAAAATGGACCCCGTCAGGGTCGATTTGGGAAGAACAATGGGGGGATTTATCGTAGATTGATAGTGGTCGATTGGGGATGATGATGGACACGCGGACCACGTATCTGAAAAAATATTCTGAATGTAGAATCTTTTTATTTTTGTGTAGGATTCGGGCAAATTTTGATATGCTGAATTGTGCAATGATGAATTTTCCACAGCTCGGCTGCCTCTCTCTCTTTCTCTCTGCCCCCTTGTCTCTCTCTCTCTCTCTCTCTCTCTCTCTCTCTCTTTCTCTCACGCTCGCTCACTTTAACTCTCACTCTCTCTCTATCCCCCTCTCTATCTCGCGCTCTCTCTCTGCCCACCTGCCTTTGTGAAAATCCAAAAACTTACGGCATTTCCTGCCAGCGATGAATCTTTTTCGCAGCACTCATAACGGCATTCTCCACGACCTCCGACTGATTCCAGCTTGACGATGTGCTGGCAATTAGATATGCTGTGCGCAGTTCTTGTTGATACACCGAGGGCCACATCGATTCCTGTGAATATACAGAGCTGTGATAGGAGAAAAGGGGTGGTCTAGTCGAGAAGCAACTCAGCAAAAACGAACCGTTCTTGATGGCTCATCCAAATTCAAGAAAATATGGCGGTCGACTGCCCACCATTCCTTTTTCAGCCTCTCCAGCACCGGTGCCCGGTTGATCCCCGTGAAATTCTGGTAGAGTCGTGTCGCATTTTCCTGAAATTTGGGGTTTTTTAGCATTTCGGGGGGAGCATTTTGAGAAAGGGGTAGATACCAGAGATATTAGCCCTTTAACGGAGAATTGGTGCGAAAAAATTAGATCAAAACCTCCCTACCAGAACTTTCCACTCATCCTTGATACGGGTTAATAGTTGATACCGGACATCCCATTTGAGGTCGGTGTGCATGGTATACACTTTCCAATAGCATCTAAATGACGCATTTTTACAAAATGAGCCTAAGAATGCGACAAGTTGGAAAGGTTCTGCTGTCAGAGCGTCAAAATTTCAATATGCACATGATTTCGGGTTTTTCTGGGAGGTATGTTTCTGGGTGGTTAGTATGTAAATTTCGGCATTATGATTTTCGACATTTTGAAACCCATGAGCCCATTGGCAATAGACGGTCAACATTATTTAATACCCTTCGAGGTGCGTGGTATTGACTGGCCCACGGAAGTATTGGTGTTCCATTTGCTTAAATAATTCTTCAAAAGAAGCGTTTGCGGAGCCTCTATTGAGTTCGGTGATGTTCAGCGCGCTTACATCGAAGATCTCCTGATCTAGCATGGCATCATAGATGTCGCGAAATTCTGCAAGGTATCGATATATACCAGCAATTACCAGTAACTAAATTAAAATAGACAGCCGGTTTTCAAATACTTTAAAGGTATGAGGACGGCATAATGCGGTCGGGGTGGGCGCGAAAAGAGGCAGAGCACAGACACGCAGTGTGGCATTGTGAGCGGCAAGCCGAGTTCACCGGTTTGGCCAATTCAAGCGCCTGTTTTCTAAAAAACGCTCCAACGAGAAAAACGAGACAGAATTGCACCAAAAACTTTTATCACTCGCATGTTCACATATTGGCTCGTTATTCATAAAAAATTTATTATGACATCACGTTACGAAAAACAAAAATCACAAAAGAGAACAGATATTACAGAAAATACATGATAATGACATCGATATGGGTTCGGGCATCGTTCGAAAGGTTTTAGGCAAAGGCATCTAGCAAAAAGCGAAATAGCAAATAGCATTGGTCATGAGCACCGCAGCCAATATCCTACCGTCATCGAGAGCGCAACATCAAAGTACAATTATGTGCCAATATTTTATCAAATTAACAAGCAAATATCACAATAAATATTTTAAAACAATAGAAAAGACGTGGAAACCTGGCTTTGAACAAAAATCGGTGACTCGGGCACTTTCCCTTGGGACGGCGCGCCCCGCCCCCTCTGCGTCTCTACCCCTGTCGTAATTGGACGTTAGCCAAGAAATCAAACCCCCCCCTCCCAGGGGGGGGTTTGATTTATGCCGTCCTCATACCTTTAAAGAAACATTCAACTCCCAGCTGTTAATGAAAAAGCAAAAAGCCCGGCCACGGTTGGGGGTCGAACCCGTGCCTCGTGCGCGGCAAGCGAACACAAAACCAATGTGCCAACAGGCCGATAGATCCCCCAGGCGCTTTATCTGCGCATAAGGAAACAGACCCTGCCTACCATATAATTATAATTTTATGAATATGGAAGGTGACTGTTTCTTTAAGCTGGAAATCTTAAAGTGAACGCTTACGGTAATTAGTTGTCAACAAAAACCTTGACCGCCTCTTTAGTTCACAACTCACGTCCAAAAAAGGCGGCGACCTTGTCGTAGGGAAATAATTCTGCCGACAGATATTCTCCTCGACCCCATTTCAAATAGGCATCCAACACAAATGCCTTATGCTCAGCCCAAATCTTTGCTTCTCCGGGGCTAATTGCAGTCGGACAGCGAGTAATGAAGATTTCTTTGTATTCCTATTCAATAAAGTTATCTTTCCTCTTCAACCAACGAAACTTACCTTCATGATTTCGGGGATCCATCTGAAAAATGATAGTTTTATGGAAATTCAGAATATCAAGAAAAATCTGATAATAAGCCAAGAGCTAACAAGTCCTAGCCTAAGCCAAGCCTAAGTTTAAGCAATACAGACCTGTACGCGATGTGGAATGGATGTTCATCTCCGCCAGTGAGCAGCGGCAGTCCATCAAGCCCAAAAAATCGCTTAACATCGCGCACCCGGCCGCTCAGACGCTAAATATTTATTTATGTTTGAGCTTAAGATTTAGTTTTTATGTAATTTTTGAGTATTTTGGCTTTAAATTGATACATGTATTTAGATTCCAATTTGAAAATTAAGTATAAAATTTAAAAGTACGTTAGACGCAATTTACCTCATAATCGGCAGCCAGGATATCTTCGAGGCGTTGGACGCGAGGCTGAGAAATCGTTCCGGCGGCAGCGGCGAGTTGTAGAAGACAGAGCCCCAGCAGAAGTCGGGGTATTATCGTAGAATACCGCATCCTAAATATTTCTGCTTGATTAAAGTTATTGGAAGGAGGCGAGGCAGGAGGGTGAAGTTATTGTGCCTGTTGATCGACTAATGGCCCTCCTTACTAGCCCTGACAGACCAGGGGGGTTGACCCAGCTCCATTATGCCGTTGGCCCCTGGCAAAGTGACGGGGTTTGCTAATGATAGCCGATTGATAAGATGGTTTTTGGAGATTTGCGATCAACCAAAATACTTGGTGGGGTTCCATGAGATTTATATAGATCGAAAAATGCCTGGGGCAAACGTGATGGATCAATCTCGTGAGTTAGCATTAGACATCAGTGCCGGCCGAGTTTTGGCTGAAAAAATGACGTTGAAGAAAGTTATTTACTCTTTCGAGCCTAACCCAAAAGCCAAGAACCGCGGGAAATGGCCGGAGGTCTACCGCCTGTCAGCGCGAGGCGCGTAGCTTTGCCGTTAGCATTGAGGGATCGACAATGGCAGCTTTTCCAGCGTGTATAGCTAAAAGCAGCTGCGTGTCAAGCTATTTTAATGCATACGATTTGCTGAAAATAATAAATAAATCCTACCATCTTAATACATAGCGTCTGTGTGTGCGTTTGCTTGCAACCGTGATGATGTTCTGCACCTACAGCCTCTGGGAAGCCTTGTTCAAGTAGGGATGACACGTCATTAGGGGTAAAACGGACCGGAATCGACCACCGCATATCAGATTTGATGAGGCATGCCATTTTCGAAATAAAAATTGGGTATTTATAAATATTTCGGCTGTTTTCCGTCTTGCACTATGTTGGGAAGCAATAAGGAAGGATCTAAGCACAGGTTAAAGCATAATTGCATTTCTGGTGGTTGACTTCGTTTGTCGGCAGGTCGTAATTTGTAAAAAACCAGTTAACGAAGAAGCTAATGTTTATTTGGAGATTTTCTGAATTCCAAGACGGTGCATTTTTAAATGAGAACATTATGGTTCGGCTGCTTTGCAAGAAACTTCCAGTGTTCTTTTGCCTGTAGATACCGTAATTTTGAATGTAGACGTCACACCCGGAATCTGAAATCTAGTTTTACAAAAAATGGTTGCCGCTTTAACGGATTTTTCCTCTTCCCTTCGGCTTAAAAGGTAATTTTACCAGCTTTAGCGTAAATAGCAGCTCGTCATTGACCTTTCGTGCTATACCGAGGCTTTACGGAAAAGTGCAATCAATGGGGAGCCCAAAGGAACGGGCGTTCCCTCTCCGTTCGCAACATTTTCAGAGGGAAAAGAGAAGCTTTTTTGGCCTCATCCCTTCTCTTCGCCCCTCTTCACTGCGACTCTCAAATCTCCTTGATGTCTCGCTAGAACGCAAAAAACCGCAAAGTGGAACCGGCGTTTTCGATAGTCTTGCTTTCATTGTTTCCTAAATGTTTCCTAAATTTTATGGTGTTGTTTGTTTTTACCGCCTACCTGAGAAACACGATTTACGATCATTTTGCATAATTTCCATTGACCAGTTTTCAACCATTTTTATTGGAATTTTTGTCTAGTATAGTTTACATGCGGTGCAATTTCATTTGGCAGGGAATACAGTATGTCAAATTTGTTTGCTGTCAAATTTTGCTAAAAACTCGTTCTAAAATTACCCTTTTCACATCCTTATATCTAGCTAGTACCCTGACCTTTAATGATTTTCGTGCGCTATCCAAAATTTGATTATCTATTAAATCCTCATGAAAATCACAAAAAATTAGGATTGGAAAAAGCTGCTTTTATTTCCATCTTTCCCATTGACAGTTTTGGCAGTTTTGACAGGCCTTATCTGGCCGGTCTACCTACCAAAAAGATACTTTCCCAAACCCATTTTTGCGTGACTTTTGAGCGTATTTTCAATCTTCTATGTTATTTGTGTTATTTCAAACATAGTCCAATTTTTCAGATGGCTCTCTTCCTGGGTAATTTCTCCACTCTTTTTCGGCTTCTCTAGAAGTCGCTATTCACAACAGAGATTCCCTAAATAATCTGAAAAACTACTTCTTAGATTGTTGGTAAGTACAATTAGCATTTTTGAACCAGGGAACATAAAAAACTAGCCTTTTCAGGCCCAGTATACTCACAAAGAGTTTACAATTTTTTCCTTTAGGCCATGCAACCAGGCCCGTACGGGAGCCGAGATTTCGGGGGGGGGGCACCCACCCAAAAAATTTTTGGCGACCTCCCCCCCCGGTCGCCACCTTCAAAACATTCAAAAATAGCGACAATAACAGCGCAGCAGGCGAAAAAATTTAGACAACCGCGTTGGTAACGCTTAAATTCGTGTGAAAACACATCGGAAACGCAAGCGAAATTTTGTTCAGCAAAAATGATGCACTATTGAAAACGAGCGCCGCAGGCAAAAAATTTTAGGAAAATAGGTTTTCTAGAAGTAAAAATGGTTTCGAAACAGTGATAAACAGCGCCGCAGGCAGAAAAATTTTTGAGGAAAAATCCTAAGGGTGCCCCCGGTAGGTTTTGCCTCGCTGAAAGATTTCGCTATTTTCGCTATTTTGATCGGGATTTTTTTTAAACGCCATTCGATAGAGCGTCAAAAAATATACGAAGAGTTTTAATTTAAGCCTACAATAATGTAAAATAAGCCTAGCAGGCAAAATGTTTACAAATAAAATTGATACATTCCCGAAAACTGGCGCTGCAAGCGAAAATTTTTGGAAAAATAGGTTTTTTTGTAGTTTAAATTGTTTTAAAAAACAATAATAAATAGCGCCGCAGGCAGAAAAATTTTTATGAAAAAAATCATAAGGGTCCCCCCTTATCAACTTTTCGGACCTCTCCCGATTTCGGGGGCACCGTGCCCCAGGTGCCCCCTCGTACGGGCCTGCATGCAACACTCTTCGAAAGATTCAAGATTCGAGAAAATGGATACTAATAACGCTACGACCACCCAATTCATTGGAAGGGCGCACTCCAAAAAAAAAGATTTTTTTAAGAATGGCAACGATTTAAAAGTGGGATATCTTGAGGTAATCGTGCAATGTTATATTTTTACAGATCGGAAAAATCGCAACACAAAAATCACACAATGATTTTGAAAGCCTTTTTTGGAGGCGATTAATTTGGAACATCGAGACGATTTTTTTCTTCAATAAACCAATAAAAGAATCAATGAAGGACGATTTCTTAATTAAGAATTAAAAGGAAAAAATCTATGCCACATGCTAGGAAAAGCTCGAGAAAACGTTTGTTTAGATTTATTGAAATTTAGTAATTTTTAAGGCTGTTGAAATCAAAGAAATGAGCCTGTTCAAGGGCGGCAATTTGACCTGCGCGCATACTCGAAGGTAACTATTTAATTTTGAGTTAGCCCGGCTTTATCCTAAAGAATGTTAGATTTTTTTAGCTATTAATTTGGCTGAATGGCACGAGAGGTCGTCGGTAATCAATGCTCCAAATTTGTGCCAAAATGTCCGATCGGTATGGTTATCCAGAATTTACGCATCTTTCAAATGTACATGCGTGAAAAGAAATTTTAGAAAGAAGATGATGAAGTTTTGCTGATCACAAAATTCGGGATTTGTCAATCCCAGTACGCTCGAACAGTGCCAAGACCGTGAGTCAAATTTTCAAGTACATTACACCCGATACGATTTTCATGGAAAACTGTCACAATCCGCAAAAACAAAATCTCGAAACTGTAGCTTTTTGCCCATTAAAACGAGAGGCCGGCCCGCCTAATCTTAATTTTCTAAATCCTGATTTTCTGGATTCTAAACGTTCTAGATTCCAACTTTCAAGCTTTTGGTGGCAAATAATGATAGAATTCTATCGTTTACCAGCGGCAAAAATTTTTGAAACTAACCAGGAGACGTTTTTTAGCGTGCACGGAGTTTCGAAATGGCGCCAAGCCCATTTTGTGCAGAATTTTTTTCACTGATTGGGAAATAGTTTTTAGAATCAGCGAAAAGACCATAATCAGAAAGTTAAGTGGCTTTAAAGGGCGAGAAACGGTCAGAGTCGGTTATTTCTGGGAATTTGCTTTAAAACACACGCTTTAAAGCTGAGTAACTTTGAGATCAGATCGTTTCGCCGATTTTGAGAACAACGTTTTGGTCAGCGCAAAATACTGCACAAAATAGGGGCATTTTCAAGCACCATATACACTAAAAAGTCTCCTTGTAAGCTCTTTAGTGGTGGTCATATACTCGAGTGGGATAACTCCGATCAATTGGAAATGAAAAATGGAACAAAATACCGAACAAACCCCGTAATCGGGGTTGGCCAGAACCCAATTCGGTAAATTCCTACTATATATAAAAAAATAGTGTCTGTGTGTGTGTGCCACTTTGCATCCACTTCCGTATCGTTGTTCCAGTCGTATCTCTATAGGGGAAGAAGCTAGGGGTGGGTACGATACATCATTAGGTGCGTAATGGTCTAGGGATGACTGCCCACATATCAGATTTATAAAAAGCAGCCATTTTCGATATCAAATTTAAAGTTTTGTAAAACCCTCTTCACTAGGAAAAAATTAGCATTGACCGGAAGTGGGTAGTCGCCTATATAAAGGGTCAGAAGCAAATCATTTTCATTTTTTGTCATCTGAATTCAGCGCAATTATGCAGAGCGTAGAGCAGCATGCGGTCCAAGACGGGGCCAGGGTTGTAAAGTCGCGAAGCGGCTTTTCAACCCTGGTGTCAAGTAATTACCCGGCCAGGTCGGCCAAATTTTATCAAACCAAATTATGATTTTATGAATCTGCATAATATCCATTTAGGGGGACATTGAGAACAATATCTTGTGAAGCAGGTGTTTGACGCGGTTGGGATCTGCTAGTCTGCAGCCATCATTGCCGAAAATTTACACGTACGGCTTAAAAATAGTTATTTTTAATCTAGAACCAGGGTTGAAAAACCGCTTCGCGGCTTTTCAACCCTGGCCCCGTCTAGGGCCTATGAAAGTCAATTCAATTTGCATGCTTCTACCGAATTCTAGGCCTCTATTCCTTTTTATAAGCCGCCTCCACTTCCGGTGCATGCTAATTGATTCCTAACAAAGAGGATGACCGAGAATTTTAGATAAACCTAATTTTAATGTCGAAAAAAAGAAACTTTTCCAAAATCTGATAAGTGTGCAGCCGTTCCCAGTCCATTACGCACTGTATGACGTATCAAACACCCCCGTAGCTTCCCTCCTTCTTGAGATACGACTGGAACAACCCGACGGAAGTTGCATGCAAACGCACACACACACACACACACACACAGGAACTATTTTTTTATATATAGTAGGATTTAGGAGGAATATTTGTGTGTTTGAACTCAGGCTTCCGATCAAATTCTTAATTAAATGTTGGCCACAGCATATTGCGCTAAATTCTTAAATAATTAGTCTTTAAGTTTATTTGAAAGCAATCTGTAGAAGATCAATCTAAAGAGAAATTTTGGGAAAATATTTTGTGAGGCATGAAATTGGTTTGAAAGCGGTTAGGACCTCATATTCTGCCGTCAGCACAGGCAAAAAATTTACACGGTAAAGCTTAAAAACCGTTGTTATTTATTTTAGAGTTTAGGATACATACTTGAATGTTTGAAATCGCGATAAAGCAAACCAGTGGCGAATTTCGGGCGAGTCCAATGAAGCCGAAAAAAGCCAATGAAAAGAAGTAACGATCGCGCTAACCGACGGCGTTCGCTACATTTCCACTGGCAGGTATAGTTAATGTCTTTCTCTCACGACCGCTCGTGGGTTCGGTCCGGATAGTTCAAGGGAAAGGGCGTACTGTACGTGTTTTTTGCGCGTTGCGTGCGGGTGCGCGGAATAGCAACCGGTTTTTAGCTGCGCAGGCCTGCTTTCGCAATTGCGCGACGCGTCTATCGCACGCGTTGCGGTCTTCCCTCATTTCCAAAGCTACCGGGCGTTTTATTAGGAGCCGGGCCGCTGTGCTCTGCCCAGGCACAACCGCCCATGGGTTCGGTCCAGATGGCTCCCGAGAAAAAGCTTACTGTACGGGTTTTCGCTTGGGGCGCGAAATAGCAACAGGCTTTTAGCAGCGCAGGCCTGCTTTCGCAATTGCGCGACGCGTCTATCTCACGCGTTGCGGTCTTTCTTGGTTTCCAATTGGGTGCATCTTGGCTCTCTGCCTTATTGGCTACTTGCCAATTTGTTGACGGGCGGATCGACACATGCCGTCGGCAGCCCTTTAAAAACGCTGTGCTTCACACTTGCTTACCTTAATTTACAGCAAAATCTATTTTAAATCTTTGAATTTGCTGCAAAATTTAAGATTGAAAGATATAGTCAGGAAAAGTAAAGCAAAGTTTTATATAGTTTTTGATGATCTCAAAATTCAGGTTTGGAAAAAGTACCTCAAAATGTGTGGAACCGTTCCCGCGCGGCACGGTGAAAGCTCGAGGGAGATGAATCAGGGTCGTGCGGTAAATCATAAAATCAATTATTTAAATTTGTTTAGAAATCAAGGATATTGAATTTTGCGAGAAACGGAGGAGAAACCCGCCACTGGATACGCAAAGGCCAAAAGAATGCCCGGGACGCTCCTTGCTGTAAGGTTTCACCCCAATTGACTTGACAAATTTAAAACATGTCTTAAAAAGTGTAATGTAATGCGATAGGCGAGTTAAATTGGCCACTGCATATTGAAAAGTTTAAACCTTACAGAATTGAATGCAATGGAAGTGCCTGAAGAATCTGAAATTACGGTAAATGATGGCCATGATCAACAGATGGCAGAGATCATGTGGAGAGAGTCCGTTCTGTCGGTCGATACGGTAATTATGTTTAAAATTTAAAATTAAATATCCTTTAAGGGATGAGGAAGTTGAATTTGCAAAAAAACTGCGAGAGCTGCTATCCACTTATCTTTTCAGCGTATGGACGGTGATCTCCAACACTGCTTATGTAAAATCACTTTCAGGAATTCTAAATGCCGAAGTAAATGAAGAACCTTAAAATATCAACTATAATAATTTTGCTGTGGTCTCCGTCCGTCCGTCTGTCCGTCTGAAGCCGAATTCGACTCGAAGGGGAAAGGAGCTAGAGCTTAGCTCTCTTCGGATTCGGATAGAGCGTGGTCAGAAACCCCCAAACTGATAAAAAAACTACGAAAAAGTTTTAGTTTAAATTATTAAAATTAACTTTGAAAGTTTTTTCCTTAGTAAAAGGGGTGGGGGACGGAGGTTGGGGTGATTTTGGACATAGTGAGCCAGGTCGCGCGCGTTTCGTGGATGAAAATTTTCACGGGGGATTTCATTTCATTTTTTCTATCATTCCATCCGGTCGGTCGTTATTTTTGTTTTTTAAGGGGATTTCGGCTAGGGGAGGTATCTAAAGCCATCGGGAAGGTATTTAGGTAGTTTTTGAAGGGGATTTCAGCCATGGGGGGTAGCTGGAGCCATCAGGAAGGTATTTAGGTAGTTTTTTAAGGGGATTTCAGCCATGGAGAGTGTCTGAAGCCACCAGGAAGGTATTTAGGTAGTTTTTGAAGGGGATTTCGGCTAGGGGAGGTATCTGGAGCCATCAGGAAGGTATTTAGGTAGTTTTTGAAGGGGATTTCAGCCATGGGGGTATCTGAAGCCACCAGGAAGGTATTTAGGTAGTTTTTGAAGGGGATTTCAGCCATGGGGGTATCTGAAGCCACCAGGAAGGTATTTAGGTAGTTTTTGAAGGGGATTTCAGCCATCGGGGATATCCAAAGCCATCAGGAAGGTATTTAGGTAGTTTTTTGAACGGCGTTTCGGCTATGGGGGGTATTGATGAAGGTGGGAAAGGATGTGGTGGAGTGGGACATGTAGGGTAGCCCGAAGGCCAGATGGTTGCAGTCGCGAAGCGACTGTAACCATCTGGTGATAGATGCTCGCCGACATCTTCTAGCGGTGTTAGGAGTACCTGCCCACTTTACAGTGTAGTGTCCCGACGGTAGGATCATCAAGTGTTTAAGGGGGCTCGTGGTAAGACTTCACTTTACCCCCCGCACAGCCGAAGGGTCTCAAAGTTGTCGGTATTTTCGCTTATTTTGTTGGGATTTTTGCAACGCCATTCGATAGAGCGTCGAAAAATATACTAAGAGTTTTAATTTTAGTCTACAATAATGTAAAATAAAAAAGTTATAGCCAAAACATTCCGCCTGGGGGGGGGGTAAAGTAAAGTAGCCGTAGCCGGGCTCGGAAGTCAAAATACCTGCGGGCGGGGATTCAATCTACGGGTCAAAAAAAAAGGTTACTGCCGAGAAATAAAAGATAAATGATTTAGTTATGAAAAAACGTAAAATATTTGTAAAACCAATGGGTTCTGGGGGCAAAAACACCCTTTAGAGTGCGCGGCGATCACATGTCGTAATGCCTTGTAAGGCAGCCCATCTCTCGATCTCGGTCATTCTCTGGTCAATTTTGCATAATTAAAAAATCTAGAATGATCGAAATTCTATGAGGATTACAGAAATAGCTTTAGAATTTATAAATTCAAGCGTTTTCACGTCCAAACAGGGGCAAAAGTTCATGCGGCGCGGTCCCGTCGCGGTCACATCCGGGACCAGTCTTCGGAGCCCCTTTAATTTACATATTTTTAGCAGTCTACATACCTGGGTTTGCAGAAAATAGTATAAAAATATATGGTTTCACAATCCAATATGCTTTTGGCCATTTTATAAGATTGTGCCAAGATAGTGAGACCAAGCCTATTTATTTGATCTGAATTAATTTTTAGGTTAGAAAGACGAAAAATCGTCGACAAATAAAGAAGACAATGAAGTATCTGAAAATATGGTAGATGCTCGCCGACGTCTTCTCGCCGTGTTAGGACGACCGTGTCCGGCCGGTACGATCAAAAATTGCTGAATTTAATTTATTTTCAGAAGGTTAAAAAATTTAATTTGCGGAAATGTGCTTAAAAAGCGTCGCGATCAGAATCTTCTTTTGGCCATTTGGTTCAATAGTGCCCGGACAGTGAGTCCAAGCAATTTTATTTAAAGCATTTTCAATTTAGAAAGAAAATAAAGGCGCCAAAAATTACGTGGAAATCTCACAAACTCGGCGACCTATCACCTTAATCATTGACAATGCTTGGAAGCATCGGCAAAAAACCTTCTACAAAGCATTTGCTGAGTGTGGAAACGGTCTGTAAATTGCTATCAGATTATTTAAAAACTCTCTAGAGATTGGAAGAAATAAATTTCCGCAAATTTTAAATCATTGAAATGGTTATCCGGGGGCGTGGAAATCGATGCGTTGAAAATTAGTGAGCATTTTAGATCGCAAATTAAATGTTTTTTGTTTATGGTTTGAGTCTCAAAAGCTATCCTTTAACGGGGCACCGAAGTGCCAAATCCAAGCTATTTGGGAGGATTCATTGATTTCTGACAAATTGTTCAATTTACGCGATTCACTTTCAATTTCTTTGTGAAAACACTTGAATTGGTAGATTCTGAGCTGATTTCTGAAATTCTCATGCAATTTTAAGTAGTTTTAGTGCTTGAAGCATCAAATTTGGCCCGGAAACAGCTGAGAACGGGATTTTGGAGGTGACGACGGGGGGGAATTTCAAATTCAGGCGCTTCCCGCCCTCTTGGCGTGCATAGGCCTTCGACGTACAGGGCTTTTCGGGCCATAACTCAATTTTTTGCACTTCTCCTTTAAAGCATTAAACGGCTATAATTTAAAACAATCATTTCAAAATCTAGGAATATAACATGCGTTGCCCCACGCCAAGGATAAAAATGATTGGCTGAAATAGCCTGCTTAGCCACGCACTAAAGATTTGCCCAGACGGTGAGATCACGAATTCTTAGACGAAATTATTCTTCAGGAGATGACGTAGCTCAGTTTGCGGAAAGCGAGAAGGCGTGTAAAACATATATCATCAAAAAAACCTACTTTTCGACAGTTTCTGATTATTTGTGCTGGCCCGCGATATCTTTGAAAATTGCCTCCAGGTTTTATCTATTGAAATAATTTTTATGTTGTAGGCGACAGGGACAAATGCTTGTGCTGCCTCAGAATCAGAAAGTACCGAACCTGCGCCAGAGAAGATATTGCCCCCAATTTTTCGCCTGCGTTTTTAACCCAAATCGAGACGGTGAGTTGGTCGACGATTGTCGTATCCCAATTTTTAGAGATTTCAAGAAAATAAAGTGAGAAGTTTTTACGCCTTAGAAACCATAAGCGGTTAAGAAATTGAAGTTGGGAAAATGAAAAATGCTGGTGACGGTAAGGCCTACGTTTTCCTACGTATGGAGTGATTACGAGTACGGTAAGTCTAAAAATACAAAAGGGTTCTTTCGCATTATCGGCGGGGAGGGGGATAGAATATTTTGTATAACTGTAGAAAATCCCGGCAACGAAATAGTGAGTATTTTGACACGTTTTTATTAGAATTTAACTATAATTCATTTCGAAAAACAATTAAACTAAGCTTACAAGTTTTTTTAAAGGTAGGTGATGTCGAAAAACGGCCAATTTTTGTCGAAAAATTTATTGTTTGCTAGTTTTAAAGCAAAATTTGTAAAGTTTTTACGTTCAGAAATAAATAATAAACCGTTTACAAACTTTACCGCAATTTATTTTTCAAAAATCGAAAACAGAAAAAAGATTTGCCCCCCCCCCCCCGATAATGGGAAAGCATCAGTAATTTTCAGCTTAAGTGTTTTCCAGGAGGCGACAAAATTCATTTTTCGGAATAGAAAAAATATGTATGATAGCCCAGGTGTTGGGCCAATGTCCCGACGGTAGGTTGGAAAATTGTTTATTTTTTAATTTTTTATAGGTTTTATTAATCAAGATCTGCGCCGAACTGGCCTCCAAAGAAAAAAAGTGCACTACAAAGTAAAGCCGGTTGGTCTTCAAATTAAAATAAATTGCGTGTAGGCGCGGGATCGATGAGTTCAGTCAATTAAAAGGGGTTTAATATCAACGGCGTGGACCATATTTCGTTTCCTATTTCGTTGTAAAAAAATTTAAAAATTAACTAGGTGGTAGGGATTTTTAAAGGGCCCTGGGATCAAAATTGGCCTGCGAGAGGTTAAAATCTGCTGGTTAAAAAACGTTCGAATTATTGCCGAAAAGCGAAGCGTCAGGAAATCGATTTCATTGCCGAAAAGCGCAAAATAAACACGTTAAAAACAAAGAATACAACTTTTTTGAACATAGAGAAAAAATTCATCGTTCTTGATGATTTCCTGGTCATTTTTTACGAGTAAAACAGCGAGAATGCTCAAAATTACCTGGATTCTATAAATATCATTTGCAGATTAGCGCTTTTGCTCTAAAACAGCGCCTAAATTACGTGACGCGCGGCCGCGCTTCGGCAGAAACTAGCATTTTTCCCGGCTCCAACACTCGTTAGGGCGTTCGTCTTGGCCGCTTTAAATGTGCCAATGAGCAATTTATTGAGCATGCCAATTCGAACGCACTTTCAGGGTTTCCAACAAGCTGCTGATGTAATTTATTGAAACTCAAATCACTGGTTCTGCCAAACCAGTGGGGACGGAGAAATTTTAAAAATGAGGTTAGTCTAGCCAGTCGAATCAATTAAGCAGAGTTCGTATTTTTTTCTAGAGGGACGTTGATTTCAAAATGGCGGGATCCAAAAAGATCTTAAGATGTTTGATGGTGTGTTGGATAGATTGCTTATATTAGCGACCTCATATTCAAGGGTGCAATTGAGGTCACGCGGTAAGTAATCGCGGAGTATAACTCTCGAGACCAAGTCGATTTTTAGTTAAAATCATGGCTTCACCAACATGTCCTAATCGCCGGATTCGAAATTTGTGGTGGAGTTCTGAGACTTGAACTCAACCGCAAACCAGGAACTGTTTTCGGACGGTAAGTCAAAAATTAAGATTTTAAGATTTTTCAGGTTTAATCAAATTTTATATGCGTCGAAAATTTTGAAAATCGACAAGTTTTGCAATTTATGGTTGGGCAGCAGAAACATGCCAAGAATTCACGGGCATTCCGTTCATCAAAGGTACGTTAGTTTCCAAGTATGAAACCCATTCCACGTATTTTGGCAAACATTTTTTGATTTTTTTCAGCAGCTATTGGCAGCCATATGCCGTTTATTGAGATTCGAATCTTTGGAGCTGCCGTGCGTGCGCCAACAGGAAATGTTAAAATTAAGGTAGGGTGAGCAATTCTTAATTTGCCATTTTTGCCGATGTCTGAAGTCGTCTATTTCGGTTTACAGGACCGACGAATGCGAAATAGTGGCGGATACCATGCTCTAAAAATATGACTATGGCTGTGTGGACTACGATATTTGAAGCCGATCCCTGATATTTGCAGCTTAAACGTCATAATCCAAATCCCTATTGGCTTAAGTTGTGTCCGGACTGTAAGAAAAAAAGATTGTTTTTAAAAGCTTTTAGGCTTAATGAAATTTTATACGTCGAAAGGCGAAAAAATTTTGAGAGTCGAAAAGGGTTGGATATTTCCGATGTCTGCCGAACCGTTTGAAGGGTTAATGGCTGACCTATCAAAGGTGCAGTTTCCAAGTATTAAAAACTAATCTCCGTATTTTAGCAATTTTTTTTTGGCTTTTTTCTCAGCAGATATTGGCAGCTATATGCCGTTTATTGGCATTCGAATCCCTGGGGTTGTGTATCGTGCGAACACGAAGGAATTTGAAAAAAAGGAAAGCTATCAAGTCGAAAGGTGCACGATAAGTGATTTTTCACCGTTACCTGAAAATTTTGAAAGGACCACAATCGAACTCTGCTTTTTAGACAAAAAGACTCCGACTAAAAATTATTTTAATTCTGGACCTTGGTATCAAAGCCCTGAGCTTGCAGCAAATGCCAGAACGATGATTTTTGAAGGTACATACCTATGATTTTTGGATCCTTTTGCAGTATAATTTTTTCAAAAATGCATCACTCCAATTAGAGAAAAGTCCAACTTCAATTTTTGCATAACTGAAATGACCATGCGTCGTGATTTTTTATTTTTACTGTCCTGAGGCAAACGACAATTTTTTTAAGAAACTGGTTCCAGGAAAGAATATTTTGTTGATATCTACCCAGTAAGATTTATTTTATTTGTTTAAAGATCCATTTCCTTGAATTATTTATAAAAATCTGACAATTTATGTATTACATGGCGCTGTACTTTAGGCGGAAGTAGCCTCTCTTGAAAACAATCATAGAGCTGGTCACCTCGAATAGAAATCTCGATTGCGAATGTTGGGTATGTGACTATCTGACTATGTTCTGCTCTTTTAAAAGGGATTAGAGAGCATGAGAATCGCCTTCCCCTCCCCCCGTCGACCCTCACCTACTGTATCTCGGCTCCCCACTGTCCTACGTGGCTGTAAACTATACCAAATTATTCGCCAGACCGTCGACTAACAGGGAGCCGAGATACCAAAGTTAGGAGTCGACGGAACGGGGGGGCGTTCTGAAGTCTTACCGCTAACTAAAAGTTCCTTTGAAATCTACAAGTTTATCACAAATCGCGGCTGTTTTAGAAGATATAAGCGTTTCTCCACAGCCCATTCACAACCGATCCATGCGCAAACTGCGAGGAACGTTCCACGAACGCTTACCAAAGGATTTAAAATTTGGAGTGCTTGGCTGGGTCGTTGGCCTGAAAAATCGGGGCATCACATATTTTATGTAAAGCTAAGAATAATTATTAACCATCCAAACATCTTCTAGATAAAATAAATTTTCTACCGACTGAATTATTGCGAGATCCGCAATGAGGCCAGAGATGGTGCTCAATAGAAATGGTCCTGCTTCAACAGGTCTTATGCCGCAAAATCCCACATGTAGGTTTATGAAAAAGGCAGTATTTTTCGGGTATGCATTCAATTTAATTTTAACGAAAATTAACTAATCAACTTTCCACTCAATCATTCACCATTTAATTTCAAATTGAGTTTTCAAGACGGTTAAAAAATTTTTAGATTTCGCTTTAGATTTGATCGCGAAATTCTTTTAAAGCCAAAAACGACGTTTACCGTATTTCCTCAAATATTCAAAATCAAATACGACATTTTTTCTCAAATATGCACTCAGGAGCCAAAAAAAAGCAAAAAAGTTGAAGTTTATGCTCAGGGGCGTAGCCAGAAAAAAATTTCGGGGGGCCCCAAAAAATTTTCCAAGAATCTGAAAACATTAACGATAAAACAGCGCCGCAGGCAAATTACGCTACGTCCCTGTTTATGCCTAACATTGCAATTGTGAGAAACTTTAAGCCTTCTATTGCGAAAAAAATTGTGTTTTTGGCCACGATCCGACCATTTTACCCCCCTTTTTCGCGATTTTAGTCGATCAGAAAAATCCAGCCCCCTCTATTATACCCCACCCCTATAACACACCCCCGCCCTTGGGGTGATTGAAAAATATATAACCCCCGGGGTTATATTAGAGGAAATACGGTAATTGAATACCGGGGAACCCGTTGATAACGGTTCAAAATGCTTAAGAAACATACTATTATAATCCACTATAAATTTTAGTGCATCTATAATGTCTTCGCCCCGTCGACCAGTAACTTCGAATCTGCCAACGCCCTACGTGGATATTGCCGCTTCAGTATGGTGAGCATTGGGAAAGCGAGGAAGCGACGCGATCGCGCGGCGGCGCTTTAACTTCCAGTTTTGCCTTAAAACAGCGCGAATTTTTTTCGGACCGCTGTTTGGAATTCTCGTGCTATTTGAATGGTTCTAGCCATTTTTACAACAAAAATTGGTCCGAGGCTCTAGTCGACATTACGACATGTAATCCCGGTGCGCAAAAATTTTTTTTTCCAAAAAAATTCCCCTTTTTAATTAAAAAAATTTTTTTTTTTTTTTTTTGGACTTTTTTTTTAATTTTTTTTGTTTTTAAAAACACCCATTTTCAAAACTGATGTATTCCTTGAGACGATTATAATGGAGCCGGCAGAAGAAACCGGAAAAATTGACCACAGCAGATGGCATACAACGATTCGAAAAAGTCTGAAATTTCTCACCGTTCAGAACTTCGGAATTTTTCATTTCAGAAACTTTTGGTGACATGACAGAATCAGAAAAAAGAAAATGCACCCATATCGACAGCACGGCGGTCACTTATTAAAAAAATAATGGAAAAGTTGGTGAATTTTCGAAATTTTATTATTTGAGCTAAAAAGTCTATCTAACCTCTATTTAGGGTCCAATTGATGGGATATTTTCGACTTAAAATGTTAAAAAACGGCTTAATCGATCCAGAAGAATTTAAGGAGATGACGAATGGGCAGATTGCACTCTGGGTATGATATTTTCCTAATCAAGGCTCTAACAGAAAACCATCGATCAAAATTAGTGTAGTATGAAAAGTAATATTATCGTATTTCTTGTAATGCAGACCCGGGGCTTTATTTTTTTCCAATAACCCCAGGGAGGTGGTTATATTAAAGGAAGCAGTATATATTTTTGTGATTTTGAGCAGTAACAAAGATTTCTAGCAGTTCAAACTATTTGTACACACCCAGAAGCACCGTACGAAGCTTAAATGGAAACGTTTTTGACATTTCTTGCTGGTTAAATGCAATTTTGAAATTTTTTTCGGGCTTTAGTAGAAACAATATAGCACCCATTTTTACGATTACTACGGTTAAAAGCTCTAAAGCCAAAAAGGCGATTGAAGGCCTCAAGAACGATGGGTTTCGTGAAAAAGCAAAAGATGGTTTCCCCTTGCGGGGGTCGAACCCGCACCGACCCAGCGCGCTATCCACTACACCACGCACACCAACCGGGAAGAGGGGGTTAAGAGGGGGTGATCTGCTGCCGCATCCTTCTTCCGAACGCGGCGCGCCGATGTACGCCGGCTGCGTGTCCGCGCCCTGCCGCGTTTCGTTTTGGGCTGTCACTTAATTTTTGGCACTCCTCTGGCCCCTAAAAACTCAGAGAATACACCTAATTCTTAAATTTCAGTCTCGCCTGCTTTGCATCCACCGGCCGGATTCGAGGCAATGGAGAAGTTCGATGGATCTGTCGCATAATTGATTCGAAACATTGGAAAAATCATGAGCCTATAGATGGTAGGCACAAATTTGGAACGTAGTAGTTACTTTACTTGCATCGTGTTATTTAAGTCTTGCCATGCGCAAAATACTTTAAATCTCCCTAAACGCGAGGGCGCCAACTACTTTTGCGTTGCTCCGAAATCTGGTCCACGGCTTCCTAGCGTTGATTCCTGAAAAATAACCAGCTGCGACCAGCGCGACCACACCGCATGTTTTTTCCCCTGTTTAGACGTGAAAACGCTTGAATTTCAAAATTCTGCAGCTATTTCTGTAATCCTCCCCAGATTTCGATCATTCTAGACTTTTCAATTATCAAAATTGATCAGAAATCACTGAGATTGAGAGATTGAGTGGCTTACAAGGCACTTCGACATGCAATCGCCACGCACTCCAAATGTCCTTTTCGACCTAAGCAAATTCGGTTATGCTCAAATCTTTTACGTTTTTCGCCATGAAATAACTTTTCTGGTGCTTCTCGGCAGTGACCCTTTTGTTTTTGACGGGACGGTTCAATCCCCCGCACGCGCGAATTTTGACTTCCGAGCCCCTCTAAGGCTTGGGGTCAGCAGTCAACTTGCATAAAAACCAAAAAGGTATGCTCGAAAAAATGCATTTCATCCAAGGCTAAATTTAATGCCTTAACTTTCAGCGTTTGGAAGATGAAGCCTCCGGCCGGCTTCGATGCGGTTGAAAAATCCATTTGTATTTCGGTCTCGATTTCGAACATTTTTGGAAAAAGCAGTGGCAGTTCATCACGGCAGGGGTTAAGATCGTCTTGGAGGTGGGCTCATTAAGCTACAGTAAACTACAGACTCTCCATAAAACTGAAGAGAGAGAGAGAGAGAGAGAGAGAGAGAGAGAGGTGGGTGCAGCAAGAGCTTTTTCGCGCTGTATACTTGATTGCAGACTGAGAGGTTTTGTACCCAGGCGAAAATCCTGCAAAATGCCGTGGAGAACACCGCACGCAAGATTAGCGGAACGGCGCCGGGGTAAGTGTTTAGGAGAGACAGCGAGAGAGAGAGAGCGAGAGAGAGAGAGAGAGAGAAAGAGAAAGAGATAGCGAGACGGACGGACGAACAGAGAGCTGCTTTTCAAGGCCAAGTTGCAAATCGTCTTTTCAGCCAAGGAGCATAAAATCGTATCCAAGGCCAACAGAGATGTCATTTAGGAAAGTGAAGAATTAAATCAAGGTATGCTTTTTTCTTATATTAAACTAAGCTTGTTTTAGCGGTGAACCGGAACGGTGACGGTCGTGGACGTCCGCAAGACAATAATCTAAGGAATGTGTTGATAAAGTTTCAGAAAACTTACTCAGAAAGATAGAGAGAAAGAAAGAGAGAGATAAAGAGAGAGTGAGTGAGAGAAGGCAGGACGGAGAAAAATACAGACAATCAAACCGATGACATTGGACATTTTTTTGCAACTCTCCACATACAAGCAAAAAATCATGGGATCCTGGCAGATTGATAGTCAGACAATCTGGCAGCGAGAGAGAGAGAGAGAGAGAGAGAGAGAGAGAGAAAGAGAGAGCAAGATTCCTAAAAAGGCATACAGACAGAAGCTATAATTCGCCATCCGGAGGCTCAATCAGTTTCCACGCCATTGCCTCTCCCAGTCACTGTCATCCTTTTAGGGGACCGGATTTTCCTGATATCCTACATCGCACCTGCGCATGCCGTACTCGTCGCTGGATTTCGCTTTTGCTCTCTCCTCTCCCCCTTCTCCTCTCTCTCTCCTCCCCCCCCTCTCTCTCTCGCTCTATCTATTCATATGCAAATGCCATCATCATCAGACTGCTATCCTCCCCTCCGTAAGAGCTCCCTGCTGCCACCCAATTTATCGCTGCTGTCAATCTGTGGCAGATCTGGAAGGTTTTGGATGTTTTCTGGGATTTATAACTTACTACGGCTGCCTCGAGTAGATCAGCATCATAATGGATCCCGCCACCTATGCTCTAAAAAAGTTGATTGCTGCTAGCCCTGGTGACCTATATTGTGATCCCATCCGGGCGCGGCGGAGAACTTTTTATTTTATTAATTTTTTAAGGGTGGAGTTTTTTTTTTAAAATACGGGCCCTAAATCATGTCTACGCGCACTAATCCTGTAAAAACCTAGTGTTTTTGAAATTTTTGAAACTCGCAGAAAATCCCTACCTTTTTCGCTTTTCAAGGCTCTTCAAAATGCTTCCAAGGTCAATTCTTCAAACACTTTGTATTTAGTCCTACAGTAGCTTTGCAAAGTTTTTACGCCTAAAAAGCCAGAGAATTCCCTTGTCGTTACCTTTAAAAAGGCATATCCCCGTATCAAGACAGTTCGCCTTGACTTCCCATTCCCTGGAAAAACTTGCCAAACACTTTCCCATCCCAGGTACTTCCCTCTTTCGAATATGCAAATGTTGCGGTTCCATCGGCGGGAGGGGGCGGTTAGAGGCTTTTAGTGGAGGAAGGGAAAGCAACAGACGTTTGATGGCTTTCTCTGCCCCGTTTTCTCCCGTCTTTTAGAGCCTGGACAGTCCCACTCACTGATCCATTCCCCCAGATACTCCTCCACCAATTTAGCGGGTTGGGGTAAATAAGTTATCGGGGTGTGCCCCAATCTCCCGCCCATCCACACACGCACAGTCATTTTCTCCATATCCGAACGATTCAAGCGCGCTAAAAACGTTAAAGAGAAACGCCCTTCCTGAAAAAGCACGAGATGTGCGGATCGTCATTTGGGGTATTGCGGAATTTCGGAGTGTCATTTGGCGTTTGGTAGAATACTTGGGTTTTCTGTGGTCATTTCGAGCTACACGGAATTTTTTAATTCGATGCGGCAATTTTGGTGCATCTTTGAACGTTGGTTTATACGGCGTTGGACGACGCTTTAAGGGTTTTTTTGAGTTTTTTTTGGATCTGCTGGATGTCATTTGGAACATCACGGAATTTTAAAATTTTCATGGGGTAATTTGGTATGCCACCACGGAAAATGACCAAAAAAACCCGGTACAAACCACGTTATTTTGGGATTTAAAACTAAAACATGGCTGATTTCTGATTTTTACAGTATTCTTGATTTGCTTAAGGATTGATATTAGTGCCTTCCCAATCCCTTTAAAATATCTTCGGCGCTGACCCGGCCATTCGTTTTCCGTCTGACCACTCAAAGTGACAAGCGCTTGACTGGAGGCTGACCCGAATCTTTCCTTCTCCTCCGTCTTCTTCTGCCACCTGTGAATAGCACTGCGATGTTCAATGGCTTTTTTGATGCCTGGGGCATGGTCTCTAGGGAAGAGGAAGGAAGAGGAGATATAATAACGACCTCCAATCGAGCGGATCGACGCTGATAACACAGGTACCTTTCTCTCTCTCTCTCTCTCTCTCATTCTCTCTCTTTCTCTCCACTCTCTCTATCTCGCTCTCTCGCGCTTCGGGTCAACCCCGGCCCAGGGGCGCTGAGTGTTTTTGATCCATGTGACGGGCTGCTGTCGTTTTGCCAAATTTTTAAGCGTCAAAAATTCCGTCTCTCTCCTTCTCTCTCTCTCCTTCTCTCTCCCTCTCTCTCTCTCTCTCTTCTCTCTCGCCTGTTAAGTGAATCGTGCCCTTTCCGGTTTTGAGTGATAATACGGTTCCCTCCCCCTCCCTACCCATCCTTTTTTCCGTTCCATCGGCAATCTGCCCGGTTTCGGTACAATCGATCAGTCAGCCACTTCACCGGTCGGGAGGCAGCGTTCGTGTGCCTGATAATTGACTTCAATTTGCTCGATTTTTGCCGTTTCTACCGAATTTTGGCAAAAGTCAGTTTTTCATACTTCGATTATCTAGCATGTTTCAGTATTCTTACTGCCTTCTCTAAACGGATTGAAGCTGCAAACTTGCAAAATTTGTCTTTTCCTCGTTTTCCAGCATCATTTTAGTTCTAATAATTTGCATAGGAATTGGTCCAGTCATGAAAAGCGTCATCATGAAAACTATAAGACCCTACTACTCCGAATCTGAATTTTAGCGAGCGATATTGTTGTTATTTTACTCAAAAAAAAAATTGCAAAAACTCCGAATTCATTCGAAAAATGTGATTTGTCCCGTTATTTCTGGAGCGTAGGCGTCTTGCAGCTTGGAATTAATTGCTCTAGCCGTTCTCGCGTCATTTACCCCTTCGAATTTATTCCCAGCCGCAATTTCAGCAAGATATAAACCAATTGAATGGCCAATCAAATGTCTTGCTATTAACACACTGGTCGGCAAATCAAAAACGAACCTCTTTCCCGCTCCTCTTTACCCAACCCATTTCCTACCCTCGCAGCCGAGACAGCTGCCACTTTTTTCGGCTTGACGGGTCTTTTGTTGGGCGACTTGTGCGTTTTTGCTGGGTGGAAATGTTTAATTTTTTGGGATTTAACTGGCTACAGGGTGATTTATCTATTTTTTTTAGCATCAAAATCGTTAAACTAGAACGTAGGCCATTTTACGACATTTTTCTGGACTTTGTTAGGGTAAAATGTTCATTTTTGTATTTAACTGAGTAAACCGTGGTTTATCTTTTTTTACAAAATAAAACGAAATAAATCAGAATTTTTCTGGATTTTCCCGAGTGGAAATGTTTAAATTTGAGGTATTGATGTGATTAGAAGGTGATCGAACCAATTTTTTAGCCATCATTTTGGGCATTCTAATTAATACCTAGAGGCCCAGTGGCCCAGTCCTTTCGTACGTACCTTCTTTGCCTAGTAAGTCGTATTTATTTTGGGGATCATCTCTAGTGTCGCCTTGCTGTCTCTCGGTAAGGGTTGGTAGGCGGATGCCAAAATATTTGCCGGGTTCAAGGGTCCTTGCACCAGGTTTGTACCTGACCCTTCAAGGAGTCGGTTAAATTGATGAATGTTTTAATATAATAATTACTTAGAATTAGCAATCTACTTAATCTGTCGCGCAGATTAAGAAATTCCTAGCATACGAACTTCTTAGCCATCCCTTGATCGGAGAGCAAGAAGCAAGCTAACCATGATAAATAGCATTAAAATATATTTCTCAAGTATTTTAAAGTAGAGTTAGATCGAACAAATACTCCGCCAGCTTTTCCCCAATTATACCTTATCCCTGGGGAGTACGCGTTTGCCAAATCAGGGTGGGTGCGCGTGTGGAATAATGAGATTTGGAAAGGGCGTCGGGTTCTTATTAGTTAGGGATGGGTGGTGATGATGGCTTGACCCCTAGAAGGATCAGAGAAGAGAGAGAGAGCGAGAGAGATCGGCATAGTAAGGAGGGGAGGCTGGACAAACAGTCGGCCTAAAGCGCCTCCCTCTACCCGTTGCTTCCATTCCCATCACTCTACTCGGCAAATTAACCATAACAAGTTTAAATAACTTTTAAAGGGATTGACAAGGCACGGCAGTGGACTCTTGCGCTCTCACTGTCTCTCTCCGTCAGCTGTCTCTCTCTTTCTCGGTCTCTCTCTCCCTCGGTCTCTCTCTTTCTCTTGCTCTCTCGCTCGCTCTCTGGCTCTCACTGTCCTCTCTCTTGCTCTTTCTCTCGCTCGATCTCCCTGTCGCTCGCTATATCGCCTTCTCTCGCTCTGTCTCTCTCTGTCTCTCTCTCTCTTTCTCTCTCTTTCTAACTCTCGCTATATTTCTGTTCTACCTCCAAAACTTTTAAAAATTTTTATTGATGTAAAAACTCTAGAGATCCTTAAAAATACCCCAACGATCTTTGCACCACCTCGCCATCGGTTTCTTTCCGTGCTTCACCTCATTGACCATCAGCCCCCCTATTTCTCAAATATGGCCAAACAATAGAATGGAGGACCGTTCCGTGGTCCTTTCGACTCCTCCGATTCGTTCCCTCGAAACGGCAAACACTGTGCGAAGAGTGCGGAGGGAGAGACCCTCTTCAAGCCTCCCCATTCCCTTCAGGGCACCTTTCTAGAGCCCCTACGGCCATCGTGCTTTTTACGATTTTACGGTGTGAACGGGACTATTCTTGGTCTTGGACAGTTGCGATCAGGTTCTATTCTGATCTTGATGGCTGCTAAAGGCAATTCGGCACTTTCCGAGATTAATTGTGGCGAAACTTCACATATTCTCTGATTCGGCCCGAAGACTATACTTTACTTTACCACCCTACCGGCAGCCCCCAAAAGCTTTTCGGCATTTCCGC